CATTCGGTGGTCCCATTCAGTGAGTTTGTGTGGCCTACCACTTCGCGGCTGAGCCATTGATGCTCCTAGACGTTTCCACTTCATAATAACAGCACTTATAGTTGACAGGGGCAGCTCTAGCAGGGCAGAAATTTGACTAACTTGTTGGAAAGGTGGCATCCTATGACTGTGCCACGTTGAAAGTCACTGAGCTCTTCAGTAAGGACATTCTACTGCCAATGTTTGTCTATGGAGATTGCATGGCGGTGTGCTCGATTTTATACACCCGTCAGCAACGGGTGTGTCTGAAATAGCCGAATACACTAATTTGAAGGGGTGTCCACATACTTTTGTATGTATAGTGTATTTGTGTTATATTTTCGGATGCCAAGCAGTTGCCATTCCAAGCAGCAAATCTACACTGGAGTTGCTTACCAAGAAGACAGTGAATGTTCCTGAGTGGCTGAGTTACAGTTTTGACTTACATCTACCTGAAAATGTTTGTCATCTAGCAATGATCACCAAACAATTTGACAGAGAATGAAGAATTTTGAAAATAATAAAATGGGGAAATGTTGCACTATCCAGGTGTGCAAAGCTCTTAGAGACTTACCCAGAAAGACTCACAGCTGTAAATCGCTGCCACAGGTGATTCTAACATGTATTGACTCAGGGGTGTGAATACTTCTGTAAATTAGACTTCTGTATTTCCTTTTCAATAACTTTGCTAAAATTTCAAAAAACATGACTCACTTGGTCATTACGGGTTAGTGTGTGTAGATGGGTGATAAAAAATATATCTATTTAATCCATTTTGAAACATTTTTACATTTACGTCATTTAGCAGACACCCTTATCCAGAGCGACTTACAGTTAGTGAGTGCATACTTTATTTTTATTTTTTTCATACTGGTCCCCCGTGGGAATTGAAACCCACAACCCTGGCGTTGCAAGCGCCATGCTCTACCAACCGAGCTACACAACGGGTATGAATACTTTCTGAAGACAATGTTGGTATAGGTGGAAGGAGGTGTGATATGTCATAATGGGTTACAATCCTCAGACAACAAAATAGAACAATCGCTCTCTACAGCAGAGAGCAGCGTTGACTACTCGTAGCACACTCCAGCAACATGGGAGACACCACACAAACGTCTCCCGTTTCAGATGCTCCAACAGCTTCTAGCTTTTTGGTGCTTTTTTCATTAGTACATTTGTCTTTTCTAAAGGAAAAAAAATGTAGTTAAGTATAAATTAAAAACAAAAAAGGCACAATGAATTTCAACTCGCTCTCGTCTTTAATATGCACAAGAGTTGAAAGCATCAGCGAGCCACCTTAAAGAGAATAATTCCATCTAAAATGTAGAAAAGATAAACAAATGAGGCCAAAACGCTGTCATTTCTTTCTCTTTTTTAAAACAACTTTTCTCCAGCAAGTAAAAATCTTGCAACAAACATAAGCTTGTATCGTTTTCTGATACAAGCCAAATAAATTGTAATTCTTTAAAGCGAGCCAAAGAAATTGTAATTCTTTAAAGCAAGCCAAAGAAATTGTAATTCTTTAAAGCAAGCCAAAGAAATTGTAATTCTTTAAAGCAAGCCAAAGAAATTGTAATTCTTTAAAGTGGCTCGGTCTGTCTAGGGGGATAGTTCATGACACCCTCTAAGGTTTGGTTCATCAGTAATAAACAACTAGTTCCAAAACAAGCCTGGGCTGCTTTTAACACCCCCCTATTCCAAACCCACTCCTCCACCCCACACTCCCCACTGTCAATCAGTAGTTAGCAGCCTAATGGCCTGTTCAAACATACTGCTGCAAAGAGTATCATGCCTTGTGGTAGCAGAGTAGCCAATGTCTTGTACACTACCTATCAAAAGTTTTAGAACACCAACTCATTCAAGGGTTTTTCTTTATTTTTACTATTTTCTACATTGTAGAATAATAGTGAAGACATCAAAACTATGAAATAACACATATGGAATCATGTAGTAACCAAAACAAATGTTAAAACGAATCAAAATATATTTTATATCTTTGAGATTCTTCAAATAGCCACCCTTTGCCTTGATGACAGCTTTGCACTCTTGGCATTCTCTCAACCAGCTTCATGAGGTAGTCACCTGGAATGCATTTCAATTAACAGGTGTGCCTTCTTAAAAGTTAATTTGTGGAATTTCTTTCCTTCTTAATGCGTTTGAGACAATCAGTTGTGTTGTGACAAGGTGGGGGGGGGGGGGGGGGGGAACGTTTCTTCACGTGCAGTCGCAAAAACCATCAAGCGCTATGATGAAACTGGCTCTCATGAGGACCACCACAGGAATAGAAGACCCAGAGTTACCTCTGCTGCAGAGGATAAGTTCATTAGAGTTACCAGCCTCAGAAATTGCAGCCCAAATAAATGCTTCAGAGTTCAAGTAACAGACACATCTCAACATCTACTTTTCAGAGGAGACTGTGAATCAGGCCTTCATGGTCGAATTGCTGCAATGAAACCACTACTAAAGGACACCAATAAGAAGAAGAAACTTGCTTGGGCCAAGAAACACGAGCAATGGACATTAGACCGGTGGAAATTTGTCCTTTGGTCTGGAGTCCAAATTGGAGATCTTTGGTTCCAACCGCCGTGTCTTTGTGAGACGCGGTGTGGGTGAACGGATGATCTCCGCATGTGTATTTCCCACCGTAAAGCATGGAGGAGGTGGTGTTATGGTGTGGGGGTGCTTTGCTGGTGACACTGTCTATGATTTATTTAGAATTCAAGGCACACTTAACCAGCATGACTACCACAGCATTCTGCAGCGATACGCCATCCCATCTGGTTTGGCCTTAGTGGGACTATCATATGTTTTTCAACAGGACAATGACCCAACACACCTCCAGGCTGTGTAAGGGTTATTTTACCAAGAAGGAGAGTGATGAAGTGCAGATGACTACCTCATGAAGCTGGTTGAGAGAATGCCAAGAGTGTGCAAAGCTGTCATCAAGGCAAAGGGTGGCTATTTGAAGAATCTCAAATATAAAATATATTTTGATTTGTTTAACACTTTTTAGGTTACTGCATGATTCCATATGTGTAATTTCATCATTTTGATGTCTTCACTATTATTCTACAACGTAGAAAATAGTAAAAATAAAGAAAAACCCTTGAATGAGTAGGTGTTCTAAAACTTTGGACCGGTAGTGTACCTCTACAGTAGTGACCGGACAACTGGACCTACTTTTCGTGGGCGAGACCTCACACCACCTAGGTCCTGGAGACCAACTGGGACCGGCTCTGGGACGGTACAATGACACAGTCGGTCCCTACAGATAGACAAGACTGTTCTCAGATTCATCAGCATGTCATCACAATACATTATGAAAATCTAAAATGAAAAATGTCAACGGAACAACCTCCCCATCCGTCTTTGACAATAAGTAGCCAATGTTATCGTTCTGTAGAGTGAGTCAGTTTCAACAATGACTGTTCAGCTGCACCAGCTTTGTACAGGCATTATGGAAATATATACTTATACATTCTCAAGAGACGAGTTTAAGAGATGCACATTATTCAGGATGCTTATGACCTCTTCATTAAAAAGAATAAAAAATAAAGTGTAAAGTTCTGTATAGGTCAGAGGTCGTGTTCTATCCTCTGTTAGTCCAGTCTTCTTTCCGCAGGAAGAGAGAAAAAAATAAATACTCAGACGTGTGCATGAGGCTGAAGAAAATATAAAAGTAAAAATGGCAAACCTGGAAGCTCCACATCCTGGACCCATAGAGATGGATAGAGGAATCATCTTTGTATCTGTGCCATTATATAGTGTCTGTGACAGCATGGGCAGCGGCATTGAGGCAATCTCCATTTTAAAGTAGTCAATTTTATTTTTCACGATTGGCTGAACCCTCCTGATGACCCGGTTGGACATTACTCCAACAAGTTGGAAGTCCCACAGTTGACTACATTAAAATGGTGGAAGCCCTCAATGGCGCTGCCCATGCTAAAATGAGCTTTTGGGCCCTATAGTCCTCGATCATTCTCTATGGTTTTCCTCCAACCTCAGGTTGCCAGATCTGAAAAAAATGAAGCTTTTTTATTTTGCTCTCCCCTGAATTAGAGCAAAATTGCTAAACAATTATATACTTCTATGAACCAGTTTTGCAGCATTATATATATATATATATATATATATATTTTTTTTTTTATAAAATTACCTTTCATTTAATAAATAAAAATCCATAACTCCACATCATGATTAAAGAGAAGTCTCAAAAATAACAAAAAGTGACTCAAAATGTCTGTCAGTCAGTCTGCCTAAAATGCTCTTCCTGCCTAAATCCCGCCCCTTCCTGTCCTAGGACTTTGGGGAGGGGGGCAGGGTCCATGCCTGTTCATGGCTTCGCTCTGGGGTTAACATCTTTAATTGGGGGCACTCGGCCATCGAGAGAGAGCGATAGCAAGAGAGTGCGAGTGTCCACGACCAGGGGACAATCCGGGGGTGATGCACAAAAATAAACCGCAAATAAACAGCAGTATCCTTTCCCCATCTGTGATGATGTTTTCTAAAACAAGTATGCACAGAAATGATTTCCAAGTGTCTTCAACTGTGTGTTTTTGTGCGTGTGTGTAGATGGTGACATTTGGCAATTCAAAAATATTGCCCCAAAAGGCTTTTTCTTCCTTCCTTGTGATTTCACATGACATTTCAAAGCATTGGCTAAGACTGCCTGAGATCCTCCCCTCGCGGGTGGCCAGATTGTACTGGTGCTGGATGAATGAGCTGGACCCATTTGTATTGGGTTGCCAGGTTGTGGTGGAAGGTGGTCGTTTTCAGTAACCCTTCAGTGCAGAGGTGGAGTATTGTGGTGGTGGTGATGGTTGGTGAATCCTTCCATCGCAAGGTGGGTGGCCATGTTGGAGTAATAGTGATGGTAGGTGGGTTCAATCCTTCTATAGCAGGTTGCCAGATAGGAGGATAGATAGATGGATGAATGTCTGGGGTGGGTTAGACTGTACAAGTGAAGCCGGATGGACCGGCTCCTAGAACTTGAACTCCTTTGTCTGCAGGCTGGAGGCGGCGTCAAAGTTGAAGGTCCCTCCTTGGGTGGCTTCAGGAATCAAACTGGGATCCTCATCAATCTGAGAGGGAGAGAGAAAGAAGACGAAGGGTCAGTGTTTGTCAGCCAGTAAAAGACGATAAATAACATTTATGCCGGCCAATTGTCCAGGAGAAGAAGAAAAATCCCATTGCAAAATAATGCTTTTTAGCCTATTCATTGATGGAAATACTATTCTTATGTAAATACATTTCACCGGTCATGCTTAAAAATCTATAGGCTCATTTGCATAATTTAGTGGGACTAAATTGGCACGTGTGTATTTGTGTTAGTCGTTATGTGTCTTAATATTTATCACACAGCATACAGAGCCTAGTTTGAGCGGGAAGTCTGTCTGACAGCTCGAGAGCTGCTGCTACAGCTCCTCAAACAGCTTGTGATGGAAAATGTTGTGTTGGTGCTCTTCTATTTAACAATTTATGTGTTCATGCAACTGACTCATTGAACAAATCCTCACTATCAGTATCTGTAATTATGCAGTACGGCCACACCCTTGTTTAGAGGATGAAAGATCTCAGTTTCAAGGTCTCAGCTTAGAGAGAAGAAGCCTCGTGAGGTATTGATTGGTCTGTCATGAAGCAAACGTTAATTAGGAATTAATTAGGAATGAATAAGCTAAATCATGCAAATATAACTTGTCTGTATATAAGAGCTCTAACGGGACTGCCCCGGAGGAGCTCCTAATCGACATGTGTACTTGGTGCAATGAGTTGGTTGGAAACTCTCCAGTTAACTTTTAATAAAACTATGATTCATTTAAATTTGACTTCGTGTCCCTGGTGAAGAATTTCCACAACAAGCTCATTCAAGTCCAATCATTGCCCAACAATTCTAAATGCACTCACATGTTAAACTGTTTTGATGGCCACAATTAAAAATAGCTAGTATTTTTATACTGAACAAAAATAAATTCAACATGTAAAGTGTTGGTTCCATGTTTCATGAGCTGAAATAAAATATCCCAGAAATGTTCCATATGCACAAAAAGCTTATTTATCTCAAATTGTGCACACATTTGTTTACATCCCTGTTAGTGAACATTTCTCTTTTGCCAAGATAATCCATCCACCTGACAGGTGTGGCATATCAAGAAGCATGATCATTACACAGGTGCACTTTGTGCTGGGGACAATAAAAGGCCACTTGAAATGTGCAGTTGTCACAACGCCACAGAGGGAGCGTGCAATTGGCATGTCCACCAGAGCTGTTGCCAAATAACTTAATGTTAATTTCTCTACCATAAGCCAACATCATTTTAGAAAATGTGGCATTACGTCCAACCGGCCTCACAACCGCAGACCACGTGTGGGCAAGCGGTTTGCTGATGTCAGCGTTGTGAACAGAGTGCCCCATGGTGGCGATGGGGTTAGGGCTGGCATAAGCTACGGACAACAAATACAATTGCATTTTATCGATGGCAATTTGAATGCACAGAGATACCGTGACGAGATCCTGAGGCCCATTGTCGTGCCACTCATCTGCTGCCACCACGTTTCAGCATGATAATGCACGGCCCCACGTCGCAAGGATCTGTACACAATTCCAGAAGCTGGCAACGGTAGGCAGGCTTCAGCGCATCACATCACTTTGCAGTGAGCTGGGGACAGTATGCATTTTGAAAACATATCCTTAAAAAAGATGCACTACGCAGAAATCGCTCCGCCATTTCCTGGTTGCTAAAATTCAAATAGCCTTCCTAACTTCAGTTTATGTCACAAAGCAAGCAAGTATAGTGTAGAGAATCATTGTACCATTTAAAACTGCTGTGAAATGCACTATATACACACAAAAGTAAGTGGACACAAATGAGTGGATTCGGCTATTTCAGCTACACCCATTGCTGACACAACGGGACCACTGAGTGCTGAAGTGCGTAAAAATGTCAGTCCTCAGTTTCAACACTCACTACCGAGGTCCAAACTGCATCTGGAAGCAACTTCAGCACAATAACTGTTCGTCGGGAGCTTCATGAAATGGGTTTCCATTGCCAAGAAGCCGCACACACAAGCATAAGATCACCATGCACAATGCCAAGCGTTGGCTGGAGTGCTGCAAAGCTTGCCGCCATTGGACTCTGGAGCAGTGGGAACGCGTTCAATGGAGTGATGAATCGCGCTTCATCATCTGGCAGTCTGATGGACAAATCTGGGTTTGGCGGATGCCAGGAGAACGCTACCTGCCCGAATGCATAGCGCTAACTGTACACTTTGGTGGAGGAGGAATAATGGTCTGGGGCTGTTTTTCATGGTTCAGGCAAGGCCCCTTAGTTCCAGTGAAGGGAAATCTTAATGCTACATTATACAATTACATTCTAGACGATTCTGTGCTTCCAACTTTGTGGCAACAGTTTGGGGAAGGCCCTTTCCTGTTTCAGCATGACAATGACCCCGTGCACAAAGTGAGGTCCATACAGAAATGGCATCTACAGTGGGGGAAAAAAGTATTTAGTCAGCCACCAATTGTGCAAGTTCTCCCACTTAAAAAGATGAGGCCTGTAATTTTCATCATAGGTACATGTCAACTATGACAGACAAAATGAGAAAAAAAATCCAGAAAATCACATTGTAGGATTTTTTATGAATTTATTTGCAAATTATGGTGGAAAATAAGTATTTGGTCAATAACAAAAGTTTCTCAATACTTTGTTATATACCCTTTGTTGGCAATGACACAGGTGAAACGTTTTCTGTAAGTCTTCACAAGGTTTTCACACACTGTTGCTGGTATTTTGGCCCATTCCTCCATGCAGATCTCCTCTAGAGCAGTGATGTTTTGGGGCTGTCGCTGGGCAACACGGACTTTCAACTCCCTCCAAAGATTTTCTATGGGGTTGAGATCTGGAGACTGGCTAGGCCACTCCAGGACCTTGAAATGCTTCTTACGAAGCCACTCCTTCGTTGTCCGGGCGGTGTGTTTGGGATCATTGTCATGCTGAAAGACCCAGCCACGTTTCATCTTCAATTCCCTTGCTGATGGAAGGAGGTTTTCACTCAAAATCTCACGATACATGGCCCCATTCATTCTTTCCTTTACACGGATCAGTCGTCCTGGTCCCTTTGCAGAAAAACAGCCCCAAAGCATGATGTTTCCACCCCCATGCTTCACAGTAGGTATGGTGTTCTTTGGATGCAACTCAGCATTCTTTGTCCTCCAAACACGACGAGTTGAGTTTTTACCAAAAAGTTATATTTTGGTTTCATCTGACCATATGACATTCTCCCAATCCTCTTCTGGATCATCATCCAAATGCACTCTAGCAAACTTCAGACGGGCCTGGACATGTACTGGCTTAAGCAGGGGGACACGTCTAGCACTGCAGGATTTGAGTCCCTGGCGGCGTAGTGTGTTACTGATGGTAGGCTTTGTTACTTTGGTCCCAGCTCTCTGCAGGTCATTCACTAGGTCCCCCGTGTGGTTCTGGGATTTTTGCTCACCGTTCTTGTGATCATTTTGACCCCACGGGTGAGATCTTGCGTGGAGCCCCAGATCGAGGGAGATTATCAGTGGTCTTGTATGTCTTCCATTTCCTAATAATTGCTCCCACAGTTGATTTCTTCAAACCAAGCTGCTTACCTATTGCAGATTCAGTCTTCCCAGCCTGGTGCAGGTCTACAATTTTGTTTCTGGTATCCTTTGACAGCTCTTTGGTCTTGGCCATAGTGGAGTTTGGAGTGTGACTGTTTGAGGTTGTGGACAGGTGTCTTTTATACTGATAACAAGTTCAAACAGGTGCCATTAATACAGGTAACGAGTGGAGGACAGAGGAGCCTCAAAGAAGAAGTTACAGGTCTGTGAGAGTCAGAAATCTTGCTTGTTTGTAGGAGACCAAATACTTATTTTCCACCATAATTTGCAAATAAATTCATTAAAAATCCTACAATGTGATTTTCTGGATTTTTTCTCTCAATTTGTCTGTCATAGTTGACGTGTACCTATGATGAAAATTACAGGCCTCTCTCATCTTTTTAAGTGGGAGAACTTGCACAATTGGTGGATGACTAAATACTTTCCCCCCCCCCCACTGTAGGTCGGTGTGGAAGAACTTGACTTTTCACTGGCCTGCACAGAGCCCTGACCTCGACCCCATCTAACACCTTTGGGATGAATTGGAACGCCGACCGCGAGCCATTCCTAATTGGCCAACATCATTGCCCGACCTCACGAATGCTCGTGGCTGAATGGAAGCAAGTCCCCGCAGCAATGTTCCAACATCTAGTGGAACGCCTTCCCAGAAGAGTGAAGGCTGTTATAGCAGCAAAGGGGGGGACGAACTTCAAATTAACGCCCATGATTTTGGAATGAGATGTTTGACGAGCAGGTGTCCACATACTTTTGGTAATGTAGTGCATCTTATCCATAACCAAAAATATTGTATTTTCAGCTGTTTGAAGCTGGTGTACAAAACCGAAAGTAAAAATCGCAAAAATGAAACTTAAAGAACAGGAAGCATAGAAATAGTACACATAGAACAGATCTGCTTTTTAGACTTTCTTCAATGAGAATGACAGATCTATAACTCACGTTTCTATGTGAATTTGGTCAGGTCGCCCAAAAAGTTACATATTGCAGCTTTAATTGTTTGAAACCAGAACCTTTTACTACATATTATGAAGCACCTTGCTTCAAAGTAGCCTAGCCAAAATCCGACCATATCCGTGGAGGCAATTATTTTAAAAATACTTCAATTTGCCACTGAAACCAGTAGGCTAGCCTATTTCACTGATGTTCTTTTGGTTTTCAAATCAACTTTCTTTCATTGTCCAGTAGGCAATGGCCAATGTCACAATCCTAGTCATCTCTGTGACATGAAACTGCTCACAAGTGCGGTGCACTTTTGACAACGGTGTTTTACCGCTAATTGCATTGTGAAAGAAACATTTGTGTATAGTCTACTGCCTTGTGCACATTGCTATAATAATGTGAAGAAATAGTTTATCAACATTTTAAGCTAAGTGTTCTCATCTGTCGCATCAGCCTTATTGCTTTTTAAGTTTTTTTTATTGGATTTTATGTAGCCTAGGCCTACTGGTTGGATGAATTTGGGATCTATCTTCCCACAACTGTCACAGTGTTTTGAAAAGGCTATTTATTTCTCGTAGAGAACAAGCTGACCAATAGATTAGGTCAACTTTTCTACTGGCTGAGGAAAAGTAAAATGTGGACAGTTATTCTAACATTTTCAAAGTGCACATCGGAATTCGGTAAGGACGCACGCCGTTGCATCCTCGAGTTGCATGTTCTGTTAAGATTAATTACCTTAATCTAAATGTGATTTGTCAATCTGAGCACCGTGGGTGGACGCCCTAATCAGGTTACGCACCCAATGCATATGGGTCGGGTTAATGAAAATGCTTCAGGTCAAATGTCTGGCGCCACATTTTCCTAAAGGAAACCCTGGACTGTGTGTGATTTCTAACTCACATCGTCGCCTGAGAAGTACTGGTCAATAATCTCGAAGGCTAGTTTGTAGATGTCCTCATTCTCATGTTGCTGCAGATTCTCAATCTTCTCCAGACCTGAGCAGATCAGAGGGAGGAACAGTCAGAAAGCATCAATTCACTTCAGACATACAGTACCTCCTCTACCCATCATGAGAATATGCAGGCACACACACCTCCACACTCCTCTATGATCTCAGTGACGGTGCTGGCCTCGTCCCCGGCCATGATGAGGACGTTCTTGAGGCCGTCTAGGAGCACCTGGACCACCTGGGAGTCCTTCACTGACAGCAGGCTGCAGAACGGAGGGACCACATTCTGCTGCACCAGGTACTCCACCTACACACAGAAAAGACAGCAGTAAGCATTTCTGACAAATAACTGCTGACACTTATGATTGTGTAAGCAGGTTCAGTCACTGGCATTAGACTAGTTAATAAACTCACTAGTATGAATGCTCCAGCTCTAGAGGCCCTGGCATGGCAGTGCAGCCCCGTACCGGTCCATGTCTAAGTCAGTAGTCTCTCCTATGGCTGATAGAGGTTGCAGTGTGTGTGTGTGTGTGTGTGTGTGTAAGACTCACCTGGTCTTTCCTGCCACTGATGGTGAGGTTGCTGATGGCCCATGCTGCCTCCTTCTGAGTCCCAAAGTCCCCCTGCAGACACACAGGCTGTCAGCACTACGTAACATATCACTACACAGCAATGACAGGAATATAATCTCTCTCAGGCTCACACAGACACCAGCCATGTACGTACGGCGGAGCCAGGCCCACCCAATCAGATATATCCTTTATTATCTCTACTTGTCAGTGTTCCAAACGGGCAGAGGTGGGTAGTAACACGCTAAAAGTAATGAGTTATATGTACTTAAGTACATTTTTGCTTGTAGAGGCACAACCGAGGGGGAGGAGAAATGGCCAGCCAGTCAAGAAAAGGTCATTCAAAGTGGAGAGGAGAGGTTTGGAAGAGGACGACGGAGGGTAAATCCTACCTTGGCAAGAAAAAGATGATTGAATTGACTACGGCAATTCATATCTGCACTGGTTGATTATTTATTATTTACAGTTGAAGTCAGAAGTTTACATACACCTTAGCCAAATATATTTCAACTCAGTTCTTCACAATTCCTGACATTTAATCCTAGTAAAAATCCCCTGTCTTAGGTCAGTTAGGATCACCACTTTATTTTAAAGAATGTGAAATGTCAGAATAATAGTAGGGAGAATAATTTATTTCAGCTTTTATTTATTTAATCACATTCCCAAATGGGTCAGAAGTTTACATACACTCAATTAGTATTTGGTAGCATTGCCTTTAAAATTGTTTAACTTGGGTCAAACGTTTGGGGTAGCCTTCCACAAGCTTCCCACAATAAGTTGGGTGAATTTTGGCCCCTTCCTCCTGACAGAGCTGGTGTAACTGAGTCAGGTTTGTAGGCCTCCTTGCTCGCACACGCTTTTTCAGTTCAGCCCACAAATTTTCTATAGGATTGAGGTCAGGGCTTTGTGATGGCCACTCCAATACCTTGGCTTTGTTGTCCTTAAGCAATTTTGCCACAACTTTGGAAGTATGCTTGGGGACCAAGCTTTAACTTCCTGACTGATGTCTTGATGTTGCTTCAATATATCCACATCATTTTCCTTCCTTATGATGCCATCTATTTTGTGAAGTGCATGATGCTGCCACCTCCGTGCTTCACGGTTGGGATGGTGTTCTTCGGCTTGCAAGCATCCCCTTTTTCCTCCAAACATAACAATGGTCATTATGGCCAAACAGTTCTATTTTTGTTTCATCAGACCAGAGGACATTTCTCCAAAAAGTACGATCTTTGTTCTCATGTGCAGTTGCAAACCGTAGTCTGGCTTTTTTATGGCGGTTTTGGAGCAATTGCTTCTTCCTTGCTGAGCGGCCATTCAAGTTGTCGATATAGGACTCGTTTTTACTGTGGATATACAGTTGAAGTCGGAAGTTTAAATACACTTAGGTTGGAGTCATTAAAACTCATTTTTCAACCACTCCACAAATGTCTTGTTAACAAACTATAGTTTTGGCAAGTCGGTTAGGACATCTACTTTGTGCATGACAAGTAATTTTTCCAACAATTGTTTACAGACAGATTATTTCACTATATCAACATTCCAGTGGGTCAGAAGTTTACATACACCAAGTTGACTGTGCCTTTAAACAGCTTGGAAAATTCCAGAAAATGATGTCATGGCTTTAGAAGCTTCTGATAGGATAATTGACATTGTTTGAGTCAATTGGAGGTGTACCTGTGGATGAATTTCAAGGCCTACCTTCAAACTCAGTGCCTCCTTGCTTGACATAGGAAAATCAAAAGAAAATCAGCCAAGACCTCAGAAAAAGAATTGTAGACCTCCACAAGTCTGGTTCATCCTTGGGAGCAATTTCCAAATGCCTGAAGGTACCACGTTCATCTGTACAAACAATAGTACGCAAGTATAAACACCATGGGACCACGCAGCCATCATACCGCTCAGGAAGGAGACGCGTTCTGTCTCCTAGAGATTAACGTACTTTGGTGCGAAAAGTGCAAATCAATCACAGAACAACAGCAAAGGACCTTGTGAAGATGCTGGAGGAAACAGGTACAAAAGTATCTATATCCACAGTAAAACAAGTCCTATTTTCACATTTACATTTTAGTCATTTAGCAGACGCTCTTATCCGGAGCGACTTACAATTCGTGAGTGCATACATTTTTCATACTGGCCTCCCGTGGGAAACGACGCCACAACCCTTGCGTTGCAAACGCCATGCTCTACCAACTGAGCTACAGGAGGGCCAACCTGAAAGGCCGCTCATCAAGGAAGAAGCCACTGCTCCAAAACCGCCATAAAAAAGCCAGACTATTGTTTGCAACTGCACATGGGGCCAAAGATCTTACTTTTTGGAGAAATGTCCTCTGGTCTGATGAAACACAAATAGATTTGTTTGGCCATAATGACCATTGTTATGTTTGGAGGAAAAGATCACCATCCCAACCGTGAAGCACGGGGGTGGCAGCATCATGCTGTGGGGGTGCTTTGCTGCAGAAGGGACTGGTGCACTTCACAAAATAGATGGCATCATGAGGAAGGAAAATTATGTGGATATATTGAAGCAACATCAAGACATCTGTCAGGAAGTTAAAGCTTGGTCGCAAATGGGTCTTCCAAATGGACAGTGACCCCAAGCATACTTCCAAAGTTGTGGCAAAATGGCTTAAGGACAACAAAGTCAAGGTATTGGAGTGGCCATCACAAAACCCTGACCTCAATCCTATAGAAAATGTGTGGGCAGAACTGAAAAGGCGTGTGCGAGCAAGGAGGCCTACAAACCTGACTCAGTTACACCAGCTCTGTCAGGAGGTATGGGCCAAAATTCACCCAACTTATTGTGAGAAGCTTGTGGAAGGCTACTCAAAACATTTGACCCAAGTTAAACAATTTAAAGGCAATGCTACCAAATACTAATTGAGTGTATGTAAACTTCTGACCCACTGGGAATGTGATGAAAGAAATAAAAGCTGAAATAAATCACTACTATTATTCTGACATTTCACATTCTTAAAGTGGTGATCCTAACTGACCTAAAACAGAGCATTTTTACTAGGATTAAATGTCAAGAATTGTGAAAAACTGAGTATAAATGTATTTTTGCTAAGGTGTATGTAAACTTCCGACTTCAACTGTAGATACTTTTGTACCTGTTTCCTCCAGCATCTTCACAAGGTCCTTTGCTGTTGTTCTGGGATTGATATGCACTTTTCGCACCAAAGTACGTTAATCTCTAGGAGACAGAACGCGTATCCTTCCTGAGCGGTATGACGGCTGCGTGGTCCCGTGGTGTTTATACTTGCGTACTATTGTTTGTACAGATGAACGTGGTACCTTCAGGCGTTTGGAAATAACTCCCAAGGATTAACCAGACTTGTGGAGGTCTACAATGTTTATTCTGAGGTCATGGCTGATTTCTTTTGATTTTCCCATTATGTCAAGCAAAGAGGCACTGAGTTTGAAGGTAGGCCTTGAAATACATCCACAGGTACACCTCCAATTGACTCAAATTATGTCAATTAGTCTATCAGAAGCTTCTAAAGCCATGACATCATTTTCTGGAATTTTCCAAGCTGTTTAAACTGTACAGTCTACGGATTTTGTTTGAGACAGAACTAGTCTGTTGGTAACATCGCTAATAGACCAGACGCTAACTAGAGGCAAGAGACAGAACTACTGTTTGGTAACATCGCTAATAGACCAGACACTAACTAAAGTCTATTAATCTAAAGTGGAAGTTGGGAGAGTTATATTTGAGTGTTTCAGTGAAACGTGAGGGAGGCCCCGCTCTCTCGCTTTCCCAGATGCTTAGTTAATTTCATTCCAATCTCCTTTGCATTATTGTAGCCTTTTCTGTAGCCTGTCAACTATGTGTCTGTCTATCCCTGTTCTCTTCTCTCCGCAAAGGCCATACAAACGCTTCACACGGCGTGGCTGCGGCCACTAATCTGGTGGTCCCTGCACGCACGACCCACGTGGCGTTCCAGGTCTCCGGTAGCCTGTGGAACTGCTGTTCTGCGGCCAACAAGGCAGAGTTCATCTTAGCCTATGCCACCCTCCAGTCCCTCGACTTCTTGGCGCTGACGGAAATATGGATTACCACAGAAAACACTACTACTCCTACTGCTCTTTCCTCGTCTGATCATGTGTTCTCGCATACCCCGAGAGCATCTGGTCAGCGCGGCGGTGGCACAGGAATCCTCATCCCTCCCAAGTGGACATTCTCTCTTTTTCCCCTGACCCATCTGTCGATCTCCTCATTTGAATTCCATGCTGTCACAGTCACTAGCCCATTCAAGCTTAACATCCTTGTCATTTATCGCCCTCCAGGTTCCCTTGGAGAGTTCATCAATGAGCTTGACACCTTGATAAGTTCCTTTCCTGAGGATGGCTCACCCCTCACAGTTCTGGGTGACTTCAACCTCCCTACGTCTACCTTTGACTCATTTCTCTCTGCCTCCTTCTTTCCACTCCTCTCCTCTTTTGACCTCACCCTCTCACCGTCCCCCCCTACTCACAAGGCAGGCAATACGCTTGACCTCATCTTTACTAGATGCTGTTCTTCTACTAATCTCACTGCAACTCCCCTCCATGTCTCCGACCACTACTTTGTATCCTTTTCTCTCTCGCTCTCCTCCAACACTACTCACTCTGCCCCTACTCAGATGGTAATGCGCCGTCGCAACCTTCGCTCTCTCTCCCGCTACTCTCTCCTCTTCCATCCCATCATCTCTTCCCTCTGCTCAATTCTTCTCCCTCCAATCTCCTGATTCTGCCTCCTCTCCTCCCTTTCTGCATCCTGTGACTCTCTATGTCCCCTATCCTCCCGGCTGGCTCGGTCCTCCCCTCCTGCTCCGTGGTTTGACGACTCATTGCGAACTCACGGAACAGGGCTCCGGGCAGCCGAGCGGAAATGGAGGAAAACTAGACTCCCTGCAGACCTGGCATCTTTTCACTCCCTCCTCTCTACATTTTCTTCATCTGTTTCTGCTGCTAAAGCCACTTTCTACCACTAAATTCCAAGCATCTGCCTCTAACCCTAGGAAGCTATTTGCCACCTTCTCCTCCCTGCTGAATCCTCCTCCCCCTCCCCCCTCTCTGTGGATGACTTCGTCAACCATTTTGAAAAGAAGGTTGACGACATCCGATCCTCGTTTGTTAAGTCAAATGACACTGCTGGTCCTGCTCACACTGCCCTACCCTATGCTTTGACCTCCTTCTCCCCTCTCTCTCCAGATGAAATCTTGCGACGGCCAGCCGCCCAACAACCTGCCCGCTTGACCCTATCCCCTCCTCTCTTCTCCAGACCATCTCCGGTGACCTTCTCCCTTACCTCACTTCGCTCATCAACTCATAGCCCGCTGGCTATGTCCCTTCCGTCTTCAAGAGAGCGAGAGTTGCACCCCTCCTCAAAAAACCAACACTTGATCCCTCCGATGTCAACAACTACAGACCAGTATCTCTTCTTTCTTTTCTCTCCAAAACTCTTGAGCGTGCCATCTCTAGCCAACTCTCTTGCTCTCTCTCTCAGAATGACTTTCTTGATCCAAACCAGTCAGGTTTCAAGACTGGTCATTCAACTGAGACTGCTCTTCTCTGTGTCACGGAGGCTCTCCGCACTGCTAAAGCTAACTCGCTCTCCTCTGCTCTTGTCCTTCTAGACCTGTCTGCTGCCTTTGATACTGTGAACCATCAGATCCTCCTCTCCACCCTCTCCGAGTTGCGCATCTCTGGTGCGGCTCACTCTTGGATTGCGTCCTACCTGACCGGTCGCTCCTACCAAGTGGCGTGGCGAGAATCTGTCTCCGCACCACGTGCTCTCACCACTGGTGTCCCCCAGGGCTCAGTTCTAGGCCCTCTCCTATTCTCGCTATACACCAAGTCACTTGGCTCTGTCATATCCTCACATGGCCTCTCCTATAATTGTTACGCAGACGACACACAACTAATCTTCTCCTTTCCCCCTTCTGATAACCAGGTGGCGAATCGCATCTCTGCATGTCTGGCAGACATATCAGTGTGGATGACGGATCACCACCTCAAGCTGAACCTCGGCAAGACGGAGCTGCTCTTCCTCCCGGGGAAGGACTGCCCGTTCCATGATCTCGCCATCACGGTTGACAACTCCGTTGTGTCCTCCTCCCAGAGTGCGAAGAGCCTTGGCGTGACCCTGGACAACACCCTGTCGTTCTCCGCTAACATCAAGGCGGTGACCCGATCCTGTAGGTTCATGCTCTACAACATTCGGAGAGTACGACCCTGCCTTACACAGGAAGCGGCACAGGTCCTAATCCAGGCACTTGTCATCTCCCATCTGGATTACTGCAACTCGCTGTTGGCTGGGCTCCCTGCCTGTGCCATTAAACCCCTACAACTCATCCAGAATGCTGCAGCCCGTCTGGTGTTCAACCTTCCCAAGTTCTCTCATGTCACCCTGCTCCTCCGCACACTCCACTGGCTTCCAGTTGAAGCTCGCATCTGCTACAAGACCATGGTGCTTGCCTACGGAGCTGTGAGGGGAACGGCACCTCCGTACCTTCAGGCTCTGATCAGTCCCTACACCCAAACGAGGGCATTGCGTTCATCCACCTCTGGCCTGCTGGCCCCCCTACCTCTGCAGAAGCACAGTTCCCGCTCAGCCCAGTCAAATACGTTCGCTGCTCTGGCACCCCAATGGTGGAACAAGCTCCCTCACGACGCCAGGACAGCGGAGTCACTCACCACCTTCCAGAGACACTTGAAACCCCACCTCTTTAAGGAATACCTGGGATAGGATAAAGTAATCCTTCTACCCCCCCTTACCCCACCACAAAGAAAGAAAAAAAATATTATCTATCTATCTATATATATATAAAAGTGGTTATCCCACTGGCTATAAGGTGAATGCACCAATTTGTAAGTCGCTCTGGATAAGAGCGTCTGCTAAATGACGTAAATGTAAAATGTAATGTGGAGATTCTGCAATTCCGTCCACAACCATGTTGTTACACCTTGAATGTCCCTTGAGATTTATCCATCATTGTTATCATGGATTCACACACAGAACTGATGTCCTCTCTCAATGACTTACAGATTGCTGTAATCTTGCCGTTCTCCTGTTTCAACTCATCGAGCTGACCTTGGGAGAACTGCAAACTGTTCTTTAGGCCCTGGACCTCTCTGGTCAGGTCGTCCATTCTTTTATTAGTCGAATCCACCAGTATTTGGACAAAGCACTTGAAGCTATTTTCTTGTTGTAACAACTGCTTGTAGAACTATTTTTGTTCGTTTAAAAGATCCTTCACGTGTGATAGAGATACCACTGTCCTCGACAACGGTACTCCCGCCAGCTTTGGTCTTTGTCATGGTAGCTAGCAACGTAGGTTACGTTGTTACTCCTCGCAGTTCGACAGGGCAGGTCACAGGGAAGATTGAAAACAACAAACAGCAGGGATCTAGACAGCCACAAACCCAGGACAATCCGCGGTCTCAGCCACAATGGCTTACAGCGTCGCGGGCTGCGTTTAAGCCCTCAACTAGAAAACCCTGCTAGCTTGATATGCTGCTAGCTAGCAGCTAGGCTAGCTGCAACGCCAAATAGCTCCTCAGACCCGTCCTTGGTCGGCAGGATCACTGGACAGAGACTAGCAATCCCAGCAACTGATGCCAACTATGTCGCGGGATCCAAACAAAAAAGTTAAACAGTTGTAAAAGATGGGGAGAGGTCTGTCCGTAATAAAGAGATGCTCTACTTTTTTGACACCACACTCCAAAAAGCAAGTCCTGCAGGCTCTAGTTTAGTCTAATCTTGATTATTGTCCAGTCGTGTGGTCCAGTGCTGCAAAGAAAGACCTAGTTAAGCCACAGCTGGCCCAAAACAGAGGGGCACGTCTTGCTCTTCATTGTAATCAGAGGGCTGATATAAATACTATGCATGCCAGTCTCTCTTGGCTGAGAGTTTAGGAGAGACTGACTGCATCACTTATTTTTATAAGAAACAATGTATTGAAAATTCTAAATTGTTTGCAACTTACAAACTTACCCCACCAGATGTCTTTTCACAGTCCCCAAATCCAGAACAAATTCAAGAAAGCGTACAGTATTATATAGAGCCATTATTGCATGGAATTTCGTTCCATCTCATATTGTTCAAATGAACAGCAAACCTGGTTTAAAAAAAACATAAAGCAACACCTCACGGCACAACGCCTCTCCCCTAATACACACACACAAAAAAAGAAGCTTTAAAAATGCAAAATCCGGTATTAGTTTAAATCGGCCAGTGACATGGTTTGTGAAATTATATCAAATGTGCGCGACATCGCGCAGAAAAAAAAACATTTTTTTAAACCCGTTTGAGCTAGAGACAAGCCGGTTTCTTTGCTGTAAAGCTGCATGCTTGTTGCGAAACAATTTTTCCTCTCTGGCACTGCTGCGTGACAGCGAACTTGCAAGGCCTACTCAGACTGGCCTGTGCTCTTGGTTATACCAGGGATGAAATGATTCAGTGTATCAACTTTGCTCACTCTGCACGCTGCTCCAATGTATCAAATGTACAAATTATTATTACAAATGTAACAGAATACTGATTAGGGTCTGCATCCCCCCTCGACATCATGGCTAAATTACATTTTATAAACTGATGCAGGATGAGCAGACAGAGAGAAGCAGGTGAGTGATGGCTGGAATTGGATATGGCTGGCTGATTACAGCTGCCACACGTGATCCGCTGACATTATTGGACTGGCGCATACAAGCGAATTGTTACTGTTGCTTAAAAAATTCAAATAGTTTATAAACAAAACTGACTTAATAAACATTTTATAACAGGCGAGAGTACCGTGGTACCGTGCAACACTAATGAGATTAGCTACACAACTACAGTTTTTCCTCTCTGCCCCATGACAAAGTGTAGAATTGCCAGAAATCTGCTTTAAAAACAGTAACATTTTCTCTCAGCCTCATGGCAAAAGGTGTAGAATAGCATGAGATTAGCTAGATAACAGCACATTTTTCTCTTTGCCCCATGGCAAAATGTGCAGTTAGTGTAGAAAGTTTTTTTTTTTGATGGCCCACCCAAATAACACGTCTGGCTACGCTACAGACGGATGCCGACACACACCACAGCTCTCTCACCTTGGCCAGCTGGTGGATAATCAGGGGGATGAGTCCTGCATCGATCACAGCCTGAACCTGCTGCTGGTTACCAGCCGTGATATTGGACAGGAACCACACTGCTTCCTGTAGACGAACCAATCACAGACAGTTATGCCACAACACTTCCTATTAACAGTCCAATCACACACAGTCAAACCAAAAAGTTTCCTATTAGCAGGCCAATCATAGAAAAGCCTGGACATTAGCTTCTCCCCTCCTCCTCCCCATGTCCCTTGCCCTTCCTGTTCCCTCTCCGGGAGAGTGTGTGTGTGCTACCTTGTTGATCTTCTCTTTGGGGTGTGTAAGCAGGTTGGGGAAGTGGGAGAGGACGTCACAGTTGAGAACCCCTTGCGTCTGCTCGTCTGTCCCCGTCACAATGTTCCCCACTGCCCTCAGAGCAGCAGTCTGCAGGAAGTGATGTCACAGCAAGTCAAGACCCACAATGTCAACACATCAGAAAATACAAAAAACACCCTGATTTACTACTTATAAAATGCATTGTTTTCTCCCATCCTTGAAATGATCATTGATCTGTATGTTGTAAGTAGAGCTAGGACTTTTTCTTGAACATATGGCTGCAGTTTTACTAAAATACTCCTAGCCCTCGTGATCAGTAAAGCCAAGGTTTCCATACTTGTTGCTTTTACCAATCCAATCAATGATTCTTTCAAGGAAAGAGGGAAATGATGCACACCATCTGTACCACAGTGTGTTCGGGTCCAAGTCTGAATTGTATCAGTTACCATGGTAATTGTTCCCAATTCTATGGTGCCCCCTGTTGAGCCCTCTTACCTGAACTTTGACCTCCTGGTGGCTGAGCAGAGGGACGAGGAAGGGGACCACGCCAGAGTCTATCACCATCTGAATTTGCTCGTTCCCACCGTCTGTCAGGTAGGACAGAGCCCACACCGTGTCCACCAGGATCTACACACACACACACACGTCATCAAGGAGTCCAATAAGTGTTGTTTTATTTGAGCTGCTGATGTCAAAATGATGGTCTGCCAACTGTACCATTTAGGGGTAATGAACATATACTTACATTTATATCTGTGTGGTATAGAAGAACACACAGCGCTGGGAGAATCTGGGAAGGAGAAAACAGTTTGAGGTGGAGAGGAAAAGATGAGGCTTCAAAAGCAGACTGGAAAATGTGGCCATGTAAGTTCTGTAGCTAAACATTCCTCCTAGTGATAAGTGTCATTTGGCTGACTGGCTGGAGAGGCCCACTAGAACACTGCTCACACAAAACACACACGGTACCCACACCTACCTACCTCCTGTACTGTATCCATGGGGGGTGGTGGGTCCTTGTTGCGACAGAGGTTGACGATGACCCAGGTGACGTTGCGGAGGAAAGTGATGGGGATGGAGGGGTTGATAAAGGACAGCAGGGGCTTGACCACACCCAGGGAGATGACATAATCCCTGCACTGTGGCCCATCTCCTGCGGGAGGAGCGTCACAGGTTAAAGGTCAGGGGTCATCATTAGGGTACAGCGTTTTTCCTGGTCAAGTCAACTGATTAGGTCATGGCAACGTCATTTCGCTGACATGCTGACCACACCACTCGCGTTACGTGCAAGAGTGTGGCTAAATAAATGTACACATGTTATTCAATCATTTCATCCAAACTGCTCGTGCGTCAACGAGCGTCTGCGTAGCCAGGTGCTAAAATAGAACTTGGTTCTATTTGTGACGCTTGACGCACTGCAAGTCCCGCCTCTCCCATCTCCTCATTGGTTTTTAGGAGCATACACCCACATGGGTGATTGAAAGATGAACTGAAGTCCACACTCCAGTCCAGTTGGTGGTGGTAATGCACCTTAAAGTTGGTTACCAACCACAATCTAAAGTCCACAGAAGACGACTGAAGGAGGAGAGATTACTAGAAATTAACTAGGTTTCTCCTTTTATCGGTGGATTAATTGTCGGAGTGGAGAACACACGATTTTGTGACTCAAAATGGGTCAAAATTCTACAAAGATCCAGAAAAAAAAGGACCTTGTGCATTTCAGGTAAAATAACAACCCAATGTTTATATCCCAGGACAAATTAGCTAGCAACAGCAAGCTAAATGTCCATGAATGTTTCATGCATTTCAACTTGTCCCCAAATTAATATAGATGGTTCAGAGTTCGTTTTGATATTTCAACCTGCGTGTCCTGATTGCGTCTGGTGTGATTGGACAAAATCAACATGCGCATGCCCGGTGTGGTCAGCATGTGAGTCTCTCTTTACTCACCTATGATGTTACCTACAGCCCATACAGCCTGCTCACAAACATTCTGATGGGGAGAGTGAAGAAGCCGCAGGAACAGGGGAACAGCATCTGTACGTACACACACAGAGTTAGAAATTGACAGATCAATTTCACACACAAATATAACATAACAGAAACAGTGACCGACCCCAGACAGTCAGAATAAGAGCAGGGCAGAGTGACCGACCGACCCCAGACAGTCAGAATAAGAGCAGGGCAGAGTGACCGACCGCTGGGTGAGCTGTTGAACTTACTGGATTTGACCACAGCCTGGGTCTGTTGTGAGGTGCCAGACGCTATGTTGGTCAGGGCCCAGGCTGCCTCGAACTGGAGAGATGGACTAGAGGAGAGAAAGGAGGGGGAGAGAGTGAGAAAGAATGAGAGGCCTTCCACTAATATCTTCCTCCTGACAGACTGCAGTGGTGGTCACCCTTACAGCTGTGCAGCCACAACACATCACTATGGCGACCACCCAAACTCCCCTCAAGCCCCCTACTGTCCTGGGTGTTTGTCTGTCTCCCTTCCTGACCACAAGGTCCTGTGTGTGTGTGTGTGTGTGTGTGTGTTGCCCGGAACACAAGGTCCTGGGAATGGGGATTTTTTTTATTTGGGTTGGCTCCAGACAAAAGGGCCAAGGGACTGTCCTGTGCCTGCCACACACACAGCTTATCTGCATCATATCTCCAAGCCATTACACATGTCAGACTACAGGATTCCCTCCCAGTAAATGTCCCAACAGTGCAATAGTAGAGATAGTCCAAGGGAGGACATTGGGCTGATGCAGCAGCAGACTCACTTGTCATCTCTCTCCAGGCATTTGACTAGGATGGGCAGGATGCCTGACTTTATCAAGTCATCAATGGGAGGATTTCTGTCACTGGAGAGGAGTTTTCTGACGGACACAAAAACAGGAAGTGTTATGTTTCAGTCATGGAATAGAAAACAGGGTTTGAGAGATACAAAGCAGAGAGAAGGACATGGTGATCACACGTCTTACTACACTTGAGGACTTTCTGGGAACCAACAATCGATTCCCATTCAAAATCCTATTTACCCTAACCTCAATTTTAACACTTAATCCCTACTCCTTAAGTAGCCATTTTTACAAGTGAGGACCGGCAGAATGTCCTCACTTCTGAGTTGTAGTTGGTTTAGTAATCTTGTGAGGACTTCTGATACTCACAAGTATAGTAAAATGTGTACACACTCTTACCTGGCAGCCTGTACGGCATTGAGCTGGACCACGGCGTTATCACTGGTGGCATTCTTCAGCGATAGAGAGAGAATGAGAGAGCACATTACAGCACCACACTCTCACAGAGGATGAGGGAGAGAAGGAACGAGATAATGTTTTTTTTAGTTAAGGAGTAGACAACATGTGCGTACTTGAAGTTGAGGCTTACCTGTAAGATGGCTTCTAGTGTGATGTTTTGCTGTAAAGAGAGGGAAGGGACAACATCAGTACCAGGTTACAGATAAACAAAATGGGGGAGGGGATACAATTCACATATACACATCGATTTAACTGAATATTGAATGGCAGCAGGATCATTCTGAGGAGACACACACTCTCTGGCTCCCTCTACACGGCAGTGTTTTTAGAGTGCTGTTTTCTCTGTGGCTGCTGCCAAGTTGGTGTGTTGACCGGCTGGTTGAGGCCGTGTGAGCTCACAGGCTGAGAATGTCATGCTTACACATCACCTGGTAGCAGCTAATCCCAGCCAGACCCTATTCCTCATCTCATTTCATTAGCTCAGTGACAGGTCTCCAGTCAGCAGGGTGAAAATGCTTCTCTGAATTCACCATTAAAATCCCACTGTGGAGCCCCATACATCATACAAACCATAGGGAGGCCATGGGGAGACCAGGGGGTTAAGACGCATGTCTAGATTACAACATCACACATAGAAATGTATTGTATAGAGCGGACACAATGTCTAATGTCAATCCAACTCCAGGAGGGTTGGCCACACCTGTCCGGCTGGTCCTACCTGACAGATAATCTAGGCAGTACATTTCCATCTGGAACAAGTCTCTCGTCTCAGAGATAGCCAGCCCAGCGCAATGGCAAATGAGTTGCTAAAGTGACATCTCACACACACCCCTTTGAAGTCTGAGTCTAAGTCTGAGTCCTCCAGACTCTCCTCCGGTGGGACGTTCCTCTTCTTCAGTAGATGCTCGTCTCGTTTGTTCTGACGGAAGAGAAAGAGAGATTAAAGAATAAACTAACACATTGATGAATCCTGAAATATGCGACAGAGTAGCACTAACTCATACAACACCAACACTTAACTGCAAGCTGGATATCGGTCGGAAAACGGCTGACCCTCGCATCCCTAGAATGTGTGTGTACATGTGTCAGTGTCATCTCTGGGACCTGAGTCTGTCTGTCCAGAGACATCTGGGGTACAAAGTACAAACCCTGTGTCGCTATGGAGATGTCCCCTATAAAGGTTACTCAACTTAACCTACAGTGCCTTCATAAAGTATCCACACCCGTTGACCTTTTCCACTTTTTGTTGTTACAAAGTGAGATTAAAATGGATTTGTTGTCCACTATCTACACAAAATACTATGTCAAAGTGGATTAATGTTTTTAACACTAATATACTGCATCTTGATTAGATCAGTATTCAACCCCCTGAGTCAATACATGTTAGAATCACCTTAGGCAGTGATTACAGCTGTGAGTCTAAGAGCCTTGCGTCTGTGCTTGAAATTCACTGCTCGACTGAGAGACCTGACAGATGTGTGGGGTGCAGAGATGAGGTAGTCATTTAAAAATCATGGTAAACACTATTATAGCACACTGAGTGAGTCCATGCAACTTATGTGACTTGTAAAGCACATTTTTAATCCTGAACTTTCATTACCAAAAGTACGTCGACACCTGCTCGTCAAACATCTCATTCCAAAATCATGGGCATTAATATGGAGTTGGTCCCCCCTTCGCTGCTATAACAGCCTCCACTCTTCTGTGAAGGCGTTCCACTAGATGTTGGAACAATGCCAACTCATCCCAAAGGTGTTCGATGGGGTTGAGGTCAGGGCTCTGTGCAGGCCACTCAAGTTCTTACACACCGATCTCGAAAAACAATTTCTGTATGGACCTCGCTTTGTGCACGGGGGGGCGTTGCCATGCTGAAACAGGAAAGGGCCTTCCCCAAACTGTTGCCACAAAGTTGGAAGCACAGAATCGTCTAGAATATTATTGTATGCTGTAGTGTTAAAGATTTCACTTCACTGGAACTAAGGGGCCTAGCCCAAACCATGAAAAACAGCCCCAGACCATTATTCCTCCTCCACCAAACTTTACAGTTGGCACTATGCATTGGGGCAGGTAGTGTTCTCCTGGCATCCGCAAACCCCAGATTCGTCCGACGGACTGCCAGATGGTGAAGCGTGATTCATCAAATCAAATGTTATTTGTCACATGCGCCGAATACAACAGGTGTAGACCTTACAGTGAAATGCTTACTTACAAGCCCTTAACCAACAATGCAGTTAAGAATACCCCCCCAAAAAAATGTTTTATACATATACACAATATATAAAATAATACGAAAATAAAAAAAAGTAACAAATAATTAAATAGCAGCAGTAAAAATAACAATAGCGATGCTATATACAGGGGGTACCGGTACCAAGTCAATGTGTGGGGGCACCGGTCAGTCGAGGAAATATGTAGTATACATTTATTTATTTTTTTAAACAATTGTATGCACTCACTAACTAAGTCGCTCTGGATAAGAGCGTCTGCTAAATGACTAAAATGTAAAATGTAGGTAGAGTTATTAAAGTGATAGATAATAAACAGAGTAGCAGCAGTGTAAAAGAGGGGTGGGGGGGCAATGCAAATAGTCTGGGTAGCCATTTGATAAGATGTTCAGGAGTCTTATGGCTTGGGGGTAGAAGCTGTTTAGAAGCCTCTTGGACCTAGACTTGGCGCTCCGGTACCGCTTGCCGTGCGGTAGCAGAGAGAACAGTCTATGACTAGGGTGGCTGGAGTCTGACAATTTTTAGGGTCTTCCTCTGACACCGCCTGGTATGGAGGTCCTGGATGGTAGGAAGCTTGGCCCCAGTGATGTACTGGGCCGTACGCACTACCATTTGTAGTGTCTTGCGGTCGGAGGCCGAGCAGTTGCCATACCAGGCAGTGACGCAACCAGTCAGGATGCTCTCGATGGTGCAGCTGTAGAACCTTTTGAGGATCTGAGGACCCATGCCAAATCTTTTCAGTCTCCTTAGGGGGAATAGGTTTCGTCGTGCCCTCTTCACGACTGTCTTGGTGTGCTTGGACCATGTTAGTTTGTTGGTGATGTGGACACCAAGGAACTTGAAGCTCTCAACCTGTTCCACTACAGCCCCGTGCTCGGTCCTCTTCTTTTTCCTGTAGTCCACAATCATCTCCTTTGTCTTGATCACGTTGAGGGGGGAGGTTGTTGTCTTGGCACCACACGGCCAGGTCTCTGCGTGCGCCGTCGCATCGAGAACGCGTTTCCACTGCTCCAGTCCAATGGCGGCGAGCTTTACACCACTCCAGCCGACGCTTGGCATTGGTGCATGGTGATCTTAGGTTTGTGTGCGGCTGCTCGGCCATGGAAACCCATTTCATAAAAGCTCCCAACAAACAGTTATTGTGCTGACGTTGCTTCCGGAGGCCTTTTGGAACTCGATAGGGAGTGTTGAAACCGAGGACAGACGATTTTTACACGCTTCAGCGGTCCCGTTCTGTGAGCTTGTGTGGCCTACCACTTCGCGGCTGAGCCGTTGTTGCGCCTAGACGTTTCCACTTCACAACAACAGCACTTACAGTTGACCAGGGCAGCTCCAGCAGGGCAGAAATTTGATGAACTGATTTGTTGGAAAGGTAGCATCCTATGACGGTGTCATGTTAAAAGTCACTGAGCTCTTCAGTAAGGCCATTCTACTGCCAATGTTTATCTATGAGACTGCAGGGCTGTGTGCTCGATTTTATACACCCGTCAGCAATGGGTGTGGCTGAAAACAGCCTAATCCACTAATTGAAGGGGTGTCCATATACTTTTGTATATATAGTGTATTTAGGCTTTTTATAACATGTCGGTTCAATTACTTCTTTATTTTATGCCTGCCATGTTATTTTAGCGTGGGGCCGACACAGAGAGAGAAGAATGCACGATCGACAGGGATAGAGAGCAGTTGCTTCGCGAGGTATCTCTACCTGAAAATAGATTATCTAAATGATTGATAGTTGGTATTCGGCAGTCATAAAAGTATGCCTTTTTACTTTGAAGAACTACTAAAATAGTGATTTTGTCAGACTGCATAGGCAGCAGCTCTATTGAGATGACTTGGAATGAAAGTAAAATGCAATGTACACAACTGAAATATTTTATTAAAGTAATGTAAATAAATTACAGTTAATAAGTGATAAGCAGTAATGGGCAGTCACTACCATCATGGGACTTTCATTGTTTTATTATGTGTTGTTACAGAATTCAACCCACATGATGCACAGTGCATTTAATGTTTTTTAAAATGATATTGAAACACAACACCGCAATTTTTTTTATTTTTATAATCGAACCGACCTCAAAAAGCACTAAGAGACACACCAACTGTAACGCACCTAGGCTACATTGAAACACACAAAGATGAGGAGCAGACGGACACACTGGTGTTGACAAGAGTGGGAAAGACACACACACAGCCGGTCGGCATGTGAGTCAGTGGTAGGAGGGAGGGAGGGAGGAGATTCCCTTGGCCTACATTCTAGTGTGTGTTGCAGTGCTGGGCTGTGACTCGCTGCTGGTGACTAACCAGCCCTGTTCTGCGCTCTGCTCTGGCACAACGGAATACCAACATGCCCTACTGTCTCCATCACTCTTTCCATCCCTCCATACTTTATGATCCCTCACTGAATTAGACCCTAAACTCTCAATTTCTATCCATGTCTCACTCTCTGTATCAGCGGTAACTTAGCAATCCCTACACTCACTTCCAGAGCTAATTTCATTCGTTTCTCTCCCTCAGTTTCTCTCCCTCTCCCATGTGACTCAGCAAATCCCAATCAGCATCATGTGTAGGAAGTCTCTTTCATAAATAAAAAAAAAATGAAGTAGAACGACAGAGTGGGAGACTCAAAAGCCTTGAAGGGATTGTTTTAATGTCAGAGAAAGAAAATAAATGTGAAGTGTGTCAAAGCCCAGAAGGGGGTCTAGCAGGGGGAGGGGAGGAAGTAAGATTTAATAAGGAAAGGGGTTAATAATAATAATAATATTATTATAATGTTGCTTTCTAAACACTGGAATAAAACAAGCTTATATTTTGGGTTCTGATGGGGTATGACAGTTGAACTAAGCTCAGGGGGCATTTATATGTTATATTCTTTAAGAATCAATGGGTGCACATAATTTACAAGGGGACAGATTTATAAGGGAACAGATTTTTGATGTCCCAATACCATGGCATTGGGTTTATGAGCTGATATACAAAACAATTGACACGTCAATCCATTATTTTCAATTTAAGCTATTATATAAAATTCTCACCATAAAAATAAGCTCAATTTATGGGGCATTGAACAGTCAGCCCTGTGCAGACTATGCAGAAACAGAATCAAAAGATCATTTCTTTTGGTACTGTCCTTTTGGATTCAGGTCCAGGAGTGGTTGTTGAGTCATAATGTCTGTGTTCAGATGGACCTACAAACAGTAAGGAAAGGGGGATACCTAGTCCGTTGTACAACTGAATGCATTAAACTGAAATGTGTCTTCCGCATTTAACCCAACCCCTCTGAATCAGAGATGTGCGGGGGGCTGCCTTAAATCGAAATCCACGTCGTCGGCGCCTGGGGCGACAGATTTTTACCTTGTCAGCCAGTAACCTTTCAGTTACTGGCCCAACAGCCCTACTCGCCAGGCTACCTGCCGGGACTATTTTGCGTCAGATCACCGAGTCAACATGAGAGCAGCGGATTGTTAGATGTTTGAGTGAAAAGGGATAGCTGCCAATCACAGGAGAGGGTCAGAGCAACCCTTCAGTCTCTGGCTTTTACAAAAGGTGTAAGCAGAGCAGCTGCATGACTACCATACTACCGTAATTGGGTGTACTGTATCCAACACAGTACACCCTGTATATTAAAGGGTTCAGATTAAAGCCAATTTATGCTTGATCCGTAATCGTGGTCAGAATCACCGTATAGAGGGTCTGACGCAATTGCGGAGCCTCTGGAGGCCTGCAGAGGCCAAATTGAGCTCTGTACCAAATATTTTAACAATGCGGAGGGCTCCGTATAGCACCGCATTGACATGATTGGTTGACGGGTAGGTGGGGGCAGTAAGTCCTTTATAAACAAAAACTCACTTCCTTGACAACTTCCTTTACAACAGCTCTGCACTGCTCCGCGAAGCGCAAGTAGTATGTACACACACACAAAAGTATGTGGACACCACCTCAAATTAGTGGCTTCAGCTACTTCAGTCACACCCATTGCTGACAGGTGTATAAAATCGAGCACACAGCCAAGCAATCTCCATAGACAAACATTGGCAGTAGAATGGCTTTACTGAAGAGCTCAGTGACTTTCAACGTGGCACCGTCATAGGATGCCACCTTTCCAACAAGTCAGTTTGTCAAATTTCTGCCCTGCTAGAGCGGTCACGGTCAACTGTAAGTGCTGTTATTGTCAAGTGGAAATGTCTAGGAGCAACAATGGCTCAGCCTCGAAGTGGTAGGCCACACAAGCTCACAGAACGTGACCACCGAGTGCTGAAGCGCGTAACAATTGTCTGTCTTCTGTTGCAACACTCATGACCGACTTCCAAACTGCCCCTGGAAGCAACGTCAGCACAAGAACTGTTCGTCGGGAGCTTCATGAAATGGGTTTCGATGGCCGAGCAGCCACACACAAGCCATACACAATGCCAAGCGTCGACTGGAGAGGTGTAAAGCTCACCGCCATTGGACTCTGGGGCAGTGGAAACGCGTTCTCTGGAGTGATAAATCACGCCTCACCATCTGGCAGTCTGACGGACTAATCTGGGTTTGGCGGACGCCAGGAGAACGCTACCTGCCCGAATGCATAGTGCCAACTGTAAAGTTTGGTGGAGGAGGATTAATGGTCTGGGGCAGTTTTTCATGGTTCGGGCAAGGCACCTTAGTTCCAGTGAATGGAAATCTTTAACGCTACAGCATACAATGACATTCTAGATGATTCTGTGCTTCCAACTTTGTGGCAACAGTTTGGGGAAGGCCCTTTCCTGTTTCAGCATGAAATGGTTTGTCGAGACCGGTGTGAAAGAACTTGACTGGCCTGCACAGAGCCCTGACCACAACCACATCGAATACCTTTGGGATGAATTGGAACGCAGACTGCGAGCCAGGCCTAATCACCCAACATCAGTGCCCGACCTCACAAATGCTTGTGGCTGAATGGAAGCAAGTCCCTGCAGCAGATGTTCTGGTGGAAAGCCTTAGCAGATGAGTGGAGCCTGTTATAGCAGCAAAGGGGGGGGGGGGGGGGGCAACTCCATATTAATGTCCGTGATTTTGGAATTAGATGTTCGACAAGCAGGTGTCCACATACTTTTGGTCATGTAGTGTATGAATGCCCTGACTTCTGCAGAGGCCGTATCACCGTAAACGCTGCAAGGCCAATGCAGGCGTCGGACTGACCATGTAGCACCTTTTAGCAGACAAGCACACCACGCATCTCAGGATAGATTACATCTGAATATACTTTTAAATCTCTGTTAATCCCTAGGAGGTAGTCTGTTAGTCTGATAGAGGATACAGATACAGTACACAGGTCTGCAGATCAAGGTGAAGTGTAGTGGCATGTGGAGGGAGTGGCTGAATGACTAAGGTGAATAAGAATTGGGCTAACAGTTTCAGGGGTCAGTTTTGGTCAAGGGCTCCATCCAAACTGGGATTCCCATGAAATCCCTGGGAGTTAGTGATGGGGATGTATACAGTTACATATCAGGATATTTTTTGACGATATATCATACATTTTGAAAATATTGTAATATTATTTTAGCGCTAGTTTGCTGTACCTGCACCAAAACGTTTACCTTCATAGCTTGTTCCCCATCTTCTTTTTAAATAGGAATCTTTTTTTTTTCTCACTTTTATTTCCATGACTGATCAAAACTTGTTGTTTTCTCATGGCTCCCTCAAGTCCCTCTGCAGCAGACATATGGTGAGCAATATGTTTGCAACATCGAATAGCAATAAAATCACAGTATCGAATCGCAATACATATATAAATCGTGAGGTCCCTGGCAATTCCCAGCCCTACTGGAAATGGGGTTAAATTGCTCTTAGATTGGTCTAACGGTCAGTTTAGCATTATCCCAATATTGGATGGGATCTAGGGAGGGTAAACTGATCCTAGATCTGTGCCTAAGAGCAATTTCTACCTGCAGCACATCACTGCAGTAGGTCAAACAAAGACACGCCTATGAGGTCACGGTGAGGAGGCAGTTTACATGGGTCAGAGGTAAATCCAAAGGTGAAAGGTCATGGTTGGAGACAGAGGGTGTTAGAGGCTCTATAGAGAGGGGGGTCATTCTGTATGGATGGAGAGGAATACCCAGTCAGTCTGTCTGGGGCAAGACACAGGGTGAGAAAGAAACAGCCTGTTTACAGGTCTGTGTGTGTCGGTAAGCAGGGAGGTGAATACTAATACATTAATATAGGGAGAGGTAGAAGCACCGCTGCAAAGTCCTGCATCACAAATTAAAATGAGGCTTCTTCGCTCACCTTTCTCAGCTCGACTGTCACGTCATTTCGATGTCTTCTCATAGTCTGGAACACAAACACAGAGGAAGCAATATGAGAAAGAGAATCATTCATAAACACATTTTTAAGTAAAGTTATTCATAACATCTCTCTGGACTAGGAATTGAGGGGACTCGTATGTAAGCTATAGGCTAACAGCATAACAGTAACACCACTGGATATGGTTACGGTTCAGTTTCATCCATTTGTGTACCAGTATTAGTGATCTTGTCCCTCTGCAGCAGAGATATGGGGAGCAATATGTTCGAAACATTGAATCGGAATACAAATAGAATCGTCTCGGCACCTAAGTATCGTGATAATATCATATTGCGAGGTCCCAGGTAATTCTCAGCCCTAACCGGTGTGTTCGTAGTCCACTCATGACTGTGAGCTGGTCTCAGATCTGGTGACTGTGCGCTGCGGTTCATATTGCCATCCTAAATAGCCCCTTACGTCATGTGGGTCAGTAACATCATCCACAGCCTTGGTTTGGTCTTGCCCCTGTCTAGGGAGGCTGAGGTGCAGAGAACCTGAGTGAGACCCCCTCTCCTCTCTCTAACAACCAGACAGTGACCAAGTCAGAGCATCGGTGAGAGCACCAACTAAATCAGCAGAGGGCCGGTGTGGTTCGGTGCAGGCTTTTGTTCTAGCCAAGCACTAACATCTGATTCATCTAACCTTGATTCAGATTGAAGACAATGATTAGTTGATACATATATTTGACGGTAGCCTAAACATAGCTTGACCAGCGGGCAGTGTCCTGAGCCAACAGTGAGTGTTTCCCCCTGGATACGGTGACCTGGAATGAACAATTAAGTCCCAGGCCAGAACACTGTCTGAGCAAGTCCAAACACGGTAGACTTTACAGAGCAAAACATACACTACCAGTCAAAAGTTTGGACTCACCTAATCATTCAAGGGTTTCTTTATTTTTACATTGTAGAATAATAGTGAAGACTATGAAATAACACATATGGAATCATGTAAAAAAAAAAAATATATATATATAAAAAAAAAAAGTTACATCAAAATATATTTTATATTTGAGATTCTTCAAATAGCCACCTTTTGCCTTGATGACAGCTTTGCACACTCTTGGCATTCTCTCAAATCAGCTTCATAAGGAATGCTTTTCCAACAGTCTTGAATGAGTTCCCACATATGCTCAGCACTTGTTGGCTGCTTTTCCTTCACTCTGCGGTCCAACTCATCCTAAACCATCTCAATTGGGTTGAGGTCGGGGTATTGTGGAGGCCAGGTCATCTGATGCAGCACTCCATCACTCTCTCCTTCTTGGTCAAATAGCCCTTACACAGCCTGGAGGTGTGTTGGGTCATTGTCCTGTTGAAAAACATGATAGTCCCACTAAGTGCAAACAATATGGGATGGCGTATTGCTACAGAATGCTGTGGTAGCCATGCTGGTTAAGTGTGCCTTGAATTCTAAATCAAATCAGAGACAGTGTCACCAGCATAGCACCCCCAAACCATCACACCCCCTCCTCCATGCTTTACGGTGGGAAATACACATGCGGAGATCATCCGTTCACACACACACCGCGTCTCACAGAGACACGGCGGTTGGAACTAAAAATCTCCAATTTGGACTCCAGACCAAAGGACAAATTTCCACCGGTCTAATGTCCATTGCTCGTGTTTCTTGGCCTAAGCAAGTCTCTTCTTCGTATTGGTGTCCTTTAGTAGTGGTTTCTTTGCAGCAATTCGATCATGAAGGCCTGACTCAGACATTAATTTACATTTTAGTCATTTAGCAGACGCTCTTATCCAGAGCGACTTACAGTTAGTGAGTGCATACATTTTCATACTGGCCCCCCATGGGAAACGAACCCACAACCCTGGCGTTGCAAGCGCCATGCTCTACCAACTGAGCTACATGGGACTATTCCTCAGTTGATGTTGAGATGTGTCTGTTACTTGAACTCAGTGAAGCATTTATTTGGGCTGCAATTTCTTAGGCTGGTAACTCTAATGAACTTATCCTCTGCAGCAGAGGTAACTCTGGGTCTTCCATTCCTGTGGCGGTCCTCATGAGAGCCAGTTTCATCATAGCGCTTGATGGTTTTTGCGACTGCACTTGAAGAATCTTTCAAAGTTCTTGAAATGTTCCTTATTGACAGACCTTCATTTCTTAAAGTTATGATGGACTGTCGTTTCTCTTTGCTTATTTGAGCTGTTCTTGCCATAATATGGACTTGGTCTTTTACCAAATAGGGCTATCTTCTGTATACCACCCCCCCCCCCCACCTTGTCACAACCCAACTGATTGGCTCAAACGCATTAAGGAAAGCAATTTCACAAATGATGTCTTCACTATTATTCTACAATGTAGAAAATAGTAAAAAAAATAGAGAACACCCTGGAATGAGTAGATGTGTCCAAACATTTGACTGGTACTGTATATCTGATAAATAATGCTGGCTGCATCTCACATAATGTCCCATAAGGCTGTTTAGTGAGAGACGGTTGAACTGGGGGGAATTGGCCAAAGTTGCCCCTTCTGCTGAGGCAGGGTCAGATCATCCTAGCGGTTAAGGTCAGGGTTAACCAAACTCATCCTAGATCTGTGGCTATGGGAAACTTTAACCTTCGACCAAACCCCAATGAATGATTTTCCCACTGCCCACCCTACTACTATAGAGTGGGTGCCAGATTGTTTCTGGAACACAACTCTCTGGTCCCAGATCAGTACTGCTTAGGGCTTATTCTACCTCCTGGCCCCTCCACTATGCCCCAGATCGGGTTGTACCTCCAGGGAGAACCCAAGCTAGACATCCAGGATGCCAGAAATAGCCCTAGTAATGCACTTTGCAATGTCTGCCTGTCCATCATAGTAGCCATGTGTTTGTAACGTTAGTTCTCGGTTTCAAAACAACCACTTATGGGACTGGTCCACATCCCACGGTTTTAGATGGCTTCCAAAGATAAATCAACTCTTATCTTCATCTACTATTTAGAAAACCCATTCCAAGGGGAGCCTTCATACAGTGGGGATATCCGCAAGATGAATCTTTGTACAACTCTGTAAAGACATAGAACTGTGTGTGCGCGTTATTGTCAAAGATAGCACAGCTAACCACTATAAATACATTTGAGGTCAGTATGCCATAGTTTAACATTGACAACTCCACCACAAGATACCGACCTTAATATAATAACAAGCGGATAACAAGCTGGTGTGGTGGAACTAGCAAGTAAATCAAATCAAATCAAATTTGACCTAGACTTGGCGCTACGGTACTGCTTGCCGTGCGGTAGCAGAGAGAACAGTCTATGACTAGGGTGGCTGGAGTCTGACAATTTTGAGGGCCTTCCTCTGACACCGCCTGGTATAGAGGTTCTGGATGGCAGGAAGCTTGGCCCCAGTGATGTACTGGGCCGTACGCACTACCATTTGTAGTGTCTTGCGGTCGGAGGCCGAGCAGTTGCCATACCAGGCAGTGACGCAACCAGTCAGGATGCTCTCGATGGTGCAGCTGTAGAATTTTTTGAGGATCTGAGGACCCATGCCAAATCTTTTCAGTCTCCTGAGGGGGAATAGGCTTTGTCGTGCCCTCTTCACAACTGTCTTGGTGTGTTTGGACCATGATAGTTTGTTGGGGATGTGGACACCAAGGAACTTGAAGCTCTCAACCTGTTCCACTACAGCCCCGTCGATGAGAATGGGGGCGTGCTCAGTCCTCTTTTTTTTTTTTTTTTTTCCTGTAGTCCACAATCAGTGATCACAGTCATCCGGAACAGCTGGTGCTCTCATGCATGCTTCAGTGTTGCTTGCCTCGAAGCGAGCATAGAAGTGGTTTAGCTCATCTGGTAGGCTTGTGTCACTGGGCAGCTCGTGGCTGTGCTTCCCTTTGTAGTCTGTAATCGTTTTCAAGCCCTGCCACATCCGACGGGCGTCAGAGCCGGTGTAGTACGATTCAATCTTAGTCCTATATTGACTCTTGCCTGTTTGATGGTTTGTCAGAGGGCATAGCGGGATTTCTTAGAAGCGTCCGGGTTAGAGTCCCGCTCCTTGAAAGCGGTTCAAGCTAACGTTAGCATGCAGTCCTAACAGAATAATTCAATCAACATATTCACCGAGCAGCTAACTAGCTTATATAGATAACTAGCTATAAGAATATTTTTTGCACAGGCTGTCCTTCAAAAATGCCTATTTTAGCTGTTCAGTTAGCTAGCTAGCTCATTATGGTTGGACAAGGGTACTAGCTTAAAAGATAGCGAGCTACTGTAAGTCATGAACAGGGTTCAATTTGTTAGATAGAGAATCTATGTAGTTAATACATGTTCTTGCTAACTACCGTCTCTGGATTTGGCCAGTTGGGCTGTCAACTATATTCTGCTTTCAAAGCAGGTGGTAGCGTAGCTAAATTAGCTGCTAACGTCGTTAGCTTAGTTAGGTAATCAGCTACCAAACGTAGCTAGCTAACGGTTTTTCGTTGTTAGCGAAGCCGGCTGAGCACTTAGCTAGCTAACGTTCCATTCTTTGCTTGCAAGCTAGTTGGCTAGCTAGCAAGGCTTCATCAAAAGATTGTCAGACAAGGCCGGTGAAGATAGCCGGTGTCTAAAGTAAATCCAACACGGATCATTGGTAAATCACCCTACATAAATGCATCCTACCTCGACATCGCGTCCCTTGTTTTTGAAGCTCTTAATACGGTGGTTATCCAAGCCGGCGTTTTCTGCCATGGCTGTTTGCTTGGTTCGAGAGTACTCCGGCGTTCGATCTCCGGTGAAAGGCAGACCACGGTAAATATACTGCCGAGTACAGAAAGGGCCGGCTAGACGTACGCAGAGGGGGTAGTATGAGGGAGGAGCTCCGTGACGGGCTGTCCTATTTTTTAAGGGATGTTTTAGCAATGGCCATCACCATGGTTCTTATTAAAACCATTAGCTTGCTACTAGTAGATGTCAACATGTCACTTCAAGTTCATGTCAATAAACATTTTAAAAATATCATTCATTTAAAACATTTCGAAAATCTGCAGACACCTCAGCAAATCATGTACCTTGGCTTAACCAATAAAGATTTTCCCATCAAGAGTGTCATAAACGGCATCAGAAAGAGAGGCCTGTGAAATGTTTGTTCGCTTACTATTCACATCACATTGTCAAAAGGGGAAAACAATAGAAAATATTTGTCTACTATATGTAGTTTCTATAATTATATGATTCCTTTATCAAAGCATGACTTAGTCTTAGGGCGTTTTCACATATAGTCCTCTTTAAAGTGAACTCTGGGGTAAAGAAAAAGCAAAATAACTCTGTTCTCTTTGTATTAACACTGACCTTGCCTTTGAATGAGGACTCTACTCTTTTGCCAGTTCACTTCAACTATTTTGTGGACCAAGTCCTCTTTTACAAAGTGCAGGACAAGCCATTCAATCAGAATGCATTATCGGACAGCTCGATACACCTACTTACATTTTGGAAGCTAATAGATTGCACTTAGTTAAAATATGAGTCATAATAATTGTAATCAGAAGATACAATTAACATGTACATTTGATTGGTAACAGAATAAATAGCAATAGAATAACTGCAGAACAAATAATGTTGTAATTGAAAATTGTACACCCAAGGTAGGCTACTGCCCCTTTAAGAGCTAGAATCGATTTTGTACCCTGTTGTGATTCTCACCAAATATGTTGTCTTCTCACACTATTCTAACCTTACAATCAATAAACAGCTTATGAAGCTCTCTTAACCTATAGATCACATATTGCAAACAAATAATCTGAAGCCTTGACAATTGCTAATCAATAAAAGCACACATTTTTATCTGCGAACCTGCACATCATCTTCTCTCGTTTGTGGCACTAATGTGAGGGTTTATGGCAGGGGAAACGGTGTTGCAGTAGTCTAGTGTGTAGTACGGGAATAATGACAAGTGAACTTGGGGAGCTTTGAGTTCACATTGTTCCAAAAAAAAAAAAGGGAACTGGACCCCGGAATTCAAGCGAACCGAACTCAGACCACCTCTTGTGATGGTCTCAGTTCGGTTAGCTTCGGGGGCTCTTTTGAGGGGTCTGAGTTCCTTTGGAGTGTTCACACTGCACAAAGAAATAAGCGAACCGCACTGAGTTCACAAAAATTGTCTGAAAGGGACCAAGTGTGAAAACACCCTTACCTGTTGTGCGAAAAGCTTAGCCATAATTTGTTTAAGCCAAATGTTTTGAACCTTTTCTAAAACAAACACAAATAAACCCACATACTATTAAAGCAATGAGTTCCAAAAGAGTTAAATGCTTCTAGAGACTCCAGTTTCTTTATTGTATTCAACAATAAGTATTCCGATTTGGTTTAATATTCAACATACATGTCATTAGTGCAAACAAAACAAAACATTTACAATTGAAGACAGTTTTCACGCTTCAAAAGGAGATATGTGTTCATCTGACAGTTGAAATACAGTAGGGTTGGAAAATGTCACATCCACAAATACAGGGTTGGGGAGTAAGTGATTACGTGTAATCAGTTTCGTGTAATCTGATTACCCAAAAAAATACTAATCAGTTACGTTAACAGCAAAATAAGATTACAGATACTTTTGAAAAACTAGATTCCTTCTTGGATTACTTTTACAATTTAGAAAGGGTGTTTGCGGGAAAAAAAATACATTATGACACCTTTGTTTTCTCAATGACATTCAATTCAGCATGGAAAAAATGCGCAAGTTTAAGTTTGTTCCACCTGAGCGATTCTGACCACAAGTCAGAGACCATTATGATGAATAACCAAATGCATGTATTTAATGGATCATTTTTGCTTTCTAACGCCTCTTTAGGGGAATGTAATCAGATTACGTTACTGAGTTTGGGCAATACAAAAGTTATGCTACTGATTAGAATTTTGGACAGGTAACTAGTAACTAACGGATTACATTCAGAAAGTAACCTACCCAACCCGAATAAAACCAAAGAGCTTCGCAAATTTGCTGACATTTGGAATAACCATCAGCGCTGTGACAAATTACTTTAAATGACATATCATAATCAAAATAAGAAAAATCAAAATATGAATAACTAACTCAAGAATTATAAGTAAATTATCAGGGAAACAAAACATTGAACATTAGTGTCAGCTATAAACAAATAAAATGAGAAATTATATATATATATATATATATATATATATATATATATATATATATATATATGGGTGTGTTTGCCCCCATATATCAATATGGCATTAAGAGTTTATTGAGATTCCATAATCAAACCATACATAGGTAGCAGTAAAGAACACTCAACATGGCTTCTGGTCCAGACCAATGGACATGTGTAGCGATTGCACAACGATACTGTCAGACTCAACACCTACACATTGTTTAAACTCTCTTTTCAGAAAGCAGCAGCAACCATAACAGATCGTGGCAATGCAGGATGATTACAACTGAAGCAAAGCAATATTGACTAATTGACTGTCTTTCAGCTGCAAATGCACACCACACACACACACACACACACACACACACACACACCACACTGGCAACTCTATGCCCTTCACCGCTGACTTGGGATCCGTTTTCTTACTGCTCCAGTGCTGGCATCAACCAAGAGCTAAACTACCCAACTGGACCCAGAACAGCTTTAAAGCGAGAGTAACCAGGACATAACACACACAGAGGGACACTCAAACCAGACGGAACAAGGGCGGGGGTCACAGATCTCTGCGGAGCAACAAGGAGCACTGTGAGCTGAGGGTTGTGTGTGTGTGTGTGTGTAAAGGCCTGGAGGTATAAGGAGGTGCTGCTCAGAAAATCTGCTGCTCAAACAGAATCTTCTCGAAGCCTTGCGGCGCCGTATGGTAGAAGTCACTGAACTGGCAGTCTAAGATGGCACTGTCATCCACTGGAACAGAAGAGAGAGATCAAATCAACATGGGTTCAAGTCAGTGTTTCATGAGGGTACTTTAGCAGGTATAACTCACTGACTGGATCTCAATTTAGCACTTCATCGTTAGTAACCTCATGGGAAATCTGGTGTGCAAGCAACAACAAAAAAACAGTAGTGTTTAATTGCCATTACATCTTATGCTACCAAAAGGAAGGCTGTCCGTTTCAGCTTTGTACGTACTGCCCTCTTGTGGCAGAAAAATAGAACCACCCCCAAAGAAATTGGCCCAGATTTACTAGGCGTTTGCGCCTGTTTTTTCCACTGGGAATTAACAAAAGGGAGAGCAAGGGTTAACATATATTATGTTGATACAGGTTAAGAGAAATAAGAAAATATGAATAAAATAAGAATTGCTCATGTTTGATATTGGTGGTTTTCCCTCCTGAGAAAGTAAGTATGTCCCTGCGCATGAAGCTGTGTGCACACACACACTCACCATAAACCACAGGGAACACGGTGCCTCTGATCCCTGAAGCTGGACAGTGCATATTCTTCCCATTCAGATAGAGATTCAGCTCCACATGGTCGTATGTGATGCCCTGAGATGGAAAACAAACAACTGATTAGATTCCCTGTACACCTCCTGACTGAATTTCCCCTTAGCCTGTCCTGAGAGGAAGAGGGGAAGCGAGAGGTTTCCCATCGCCAAAATAAGCCCAATGTGTTTCTATGGGCTTATTTTGGACCTAAGCTTGTCGCCTGCCTTCCCGCCTTTGGGACAATGACTCCCATTGGGCGGAGACATGAGCATCTAGTCTTTATATACAGATCTCTGGCCTAGCCCAATCCAATCTACCTCTATAGAGGTGGGACTTCCTCCAACACACCTCAAGTAGCCTCACCTGCCTTTAATCAGTGTGGCAACCTAATGGACTGGAAAAGAGATATATATATATATATAATGGCGAGATGGTCTCGTCTCCGACCTAACAATGGGAGTCGTTGTCCCAAAGGCGGGCGGTCTCATTATCGGTCTGCTTATCGCTGTATTCCCGCGTGGACAGATTCTGACGGGAGTGGATCCTCTCGCTTCACCTCTTCCACTCTGACTGGAAGCATGACTGTGTAGTGTTTGGAGAACGTGTTTATTGTGTACTTTAAAGCTAAGGACTAGAATGGTTTTTTCCTAATATAACCTGGATGCGTTACTGAACAAGTAAGTTTGTCCCATTCCTTTTTTTGAACATGTGTTTGGTGTTGGACTCCTTTTTGTTTATCAGAAGAGAATAATATTGCTGTGTTGTAATTACGCCATGTGCTTTCCTTGCTTTGTTTGAGTTGTTATAGAGCATGTTCATTGACGCTTTAACAAAGACCTTGAGCATATGTATGAAACCTGCTGCGTTGCGCTCCACCATCCCAGTCCACTCACCACAATGTCCCCCTCCTGTGGAAGGCTGTTGGCAGGGAGACGGTTCTTCTCCGCGTTGTTGTGGTACACCGAGCCATCGTGCCTCAGGACAAGGCTGTTGATGTCCTGCCCCATGGGGACCTGGTTCAGGTTCACCTTCTGAGTGGCCACACCTATCCCCCATATACCTGCTCACAGAGGTTAGAACCTTTAAAACAAGCTTGCCAACACAAACCGTACTGTGCTGGTTTTCAAGCCATTTTACTTGAAGTTCAGAGGTGCAACTATATTGGCATATGGTCGTTTCAACTAGGAGGACAGTATTCCTTCTAGTCAATGTTTTTGCTAGCTTGGACTGGCTTTTTTTGCTTTCCAGTATCGCTTCCAGCAACTGTGTGTGTAACCAGGCCAGTGCAGTTCAGGACAGTAAGTGTGTAGACTTCTACCAACACACATGTACCCCCAGGAGAGGGCGTGTACTGTAAACCCTATAACCACTGGAGTGGACCGAGGGGAATCCCCTCTGCCTGTAGCCCTGATTCCGCCAGATGGCGCTATTATCCTTACGTCGTTTGTCATCGACGTCCTGCATTAAACTGCACAGCTGGTAATACTTGTGGCCCCGGCGACCGGTTCGTACATAAAACATCCTCCATTCAGGCTGCAAAGGCATCATTTTCCTCCTTAACCCGATTTAATGGCCCGCCAACCTAAAAATGGGAAATATGCATACGGCCTTAATAAAACACAATATTCCACCACCATTTCCGGATGTTGCACACAGAGTTCAGCCAATCAGGTTGAAGCACTGTTGTTTACCCCTGGATGAATGCAGTGCGCAGGAAGTAGCATTAGCCACTCTAGCATTGTGGTGAAAAATTTTGTTTTGTTGAAACTGTACGCATATCTTCCAAGCTTTTTTAAGCCGGCGGGCCATTAAATTGAGTTGAGGTGGAAACTGCTTCTCCAGCCTGAATGGAGGATGTTTTATGTACGAACCGGTCCCCAGGGGACACGAGTGTATTACCAGCTGTGCAGTTTAATAAAAGATGATCTATTATATTGACAAGATGGTCGAGTGACCACTAACAATAGAAATACATGTCCTCAAAGATGGAAGGCAGACGAGAGGAGGCAAGACCAGGTGGGACCATTATAGCCAATGAGAGGGCAGATACGTGTGTGAACAACAGGCACAACATTCCAGAAATGCCATGTGCATCCACTTATCAGTACATTTGTAACAACCTAACCATTAAGAACTTCTATTTGATCAAATAAGCCTCATGTAGCAAATTAGCAATTACATTTGTTGACCAAGTTTGACATGAATTGATCTCCATACAAAAATTATTATTTTTGTGGACAGATTTTGGGCAGAGTAAACCCTCTCACTTCGCCTCTTCCTGTCTGGTTTAATGCAGGACGTCAAATGACATATGACGTAAGGATAATAGAGCCATCTGGCGGAATCAAGGTTCTGACTAGGTGGTATACAGCTACGACCGGAAGTTACTTTTTCGTAGCAGGTTAGGAGAAGTAACGCAGCAGGTTAGGAGAAGTAACACAGCAGGTTAGGAGAAGTAACGCAGCAGGTTAGGAGAAGTAACGCAGCAGGTTAGGAGAAGTAACGCAGCAGGTTAGGATAATTAACGCAGCAGGTTAGGATAATTAACGCAGCAGGTTAGGATAATTAACGCAGCAGGTTAGGATAATTAACGCAGCAGGTTAGGATAATTAATGTTACAGTTTGGAATAGGGTTAGCTCAAATCTGAGAGAGACTTCCGGGAATGCTTGCGAAACACACCTGTACGAAAGACTATGGAGAATAAATATTAGTTAATCATAGGAGAGCTGTAGCTCTGCCCACCGGTGATGTGGAGCAGATGCATGCTGGGCGATCTCTGAGGAGAAGGAAGTAACTATACTGAACAAAAATATAAACGCAACATGCAACAATTTTACTGAGTTACAGTTCATATAAGGAAATCAGTCAATTGAAATAAATTAACTAGGCCCTAATCTATGATTTCACATGACTGGGCAGGGGCGCAGCCATGGGTGGGCCTAGGAGTGCATAGGCCCACCCACTGGGGAGCCAGGACCTGCCAATCAGAATGTTTTTCCCCCACAAAAGAGCTTTATTAGAGACAGAAATAATCCTCAGTTTCATCAGCTGTCTGGGTGGCTGGTATCAGACGATCCCGCAGGTAAAGAAGCCAGATGTGGAGGTCCTGGGCTGGTGTGGTTACACGTGGTCTGCGGTTGTGAGGCCGGTTGGACGTACTGACAAATTCTCTCAAACGACATTGGAGGTAGCTTATGGTAGGGAAATGAACATTCAATTCTATGGCAAAAGTTCTGGTGGACATTCCAGCAGTCAGCATGCCAATTGCATGCTTCCTCAAAACTTGAGACATCTGTGTTGTGTGGCAGAACTGCACATTTTAGAGTGGCCCTTTATTGTCCCCAGCACAAGGTGCACCTGTGTAATGATCATGCTGTTTAATCAGCTTCTTCATATGCCACACCTATCAGGTGGATTAATTATCTTGGCAAAGGAGAAATACTCACTAACAGGGATGTAAACAAATGTGTGCACAAAACTTAAATCGAAATAAGCTTTTTGTGCGTATTGAAAAGCTCATGAAACATGGGACCAACACTTTACATGTTGCGTTTATATTTTTGTTCAGTATAGAGAAAGTACACAAGCCAAGTGATAAGTTCCAGCCATCTTTAGTTAGAAATCTTTGTTTTAGCCAAGGCCAGTGTACGTCCTTCAGAAATGTGATTTCATATTTCTTACTCTTTGTGTGTTCTGGATGCACTCCTCTTTGTTATGCTAATTTGAGTGTTTACCGCGAGCTAGCAACTGTAAGCTTGCTAATCCTGTTGTTTGTGTCATCTAATTTCGGACATTTGGCATTTAATTGTATAGTATAATGTCCACCAGTGCCTAGTCTTATATGCCCTGTGGTTGTATATGGTATGGATTATGTGGGTATTTTGTTTGCTATGAGCCTTGTGGATATATATATATATATATATATATATATATATATATATATATATATATATATATATATATATATATATATATATATATATATATATATATATATAGTACCAGTCAAAAGTTTGGACACATCTACTCATTCCAGGGTTTTTCTTTATTTTTACTATTTTCTACATTGTAGAATAATAGTGAAGACATCAAAACTATGAAATAACACATATGGAATCATGTAGTAACCAAAAAAGTGTTAAACAAATCAAAATATATTTTATATTTGAGATTCTTCAAAGTAGCCACTCTTTGCCTTGATGACAGCTTTGCACACTCTTGGCATTCTCTCAACCAGCTTCATGAGGTAGCCACCTGGAATGCATTCCAATTAACAGGTGTGCCTTGTTAAAAGTTAATTTGTGGAATTTCTTTCCTTCTTAATGCGTTTGAGCCAAATCAGTTGTGTTGTGACAAGGTAGGGGTGGTATACAGAAGATAGCCCTATTTGGTAAAAGACCCAAGTCCATATTATTGTAAGAACAGCTCAAATAAGCAAAGAGAAACGACAGTCCATCATTATTTTAAGACATGAAGGTCATTCAATACGGAGAATCTCAAGAACTTTGAAAGTTTCTTCAAGTGCAGTTGCAAAAACCATCAAGCGCTATGATGAAACTGGCTCTCATGAGGACCGCTACACGAAAGGAAGACCCCACAGGAAAGGAAGACCCAGAGTTACTTCTGCTGCCGAGGATAAGTTCATTAGAGTTACCAGCCTCAGAAATTGCAGCCCAAATAAATGCTTCATAGAGTTCAAGTAACAGACACATCTCAACATCAACTGTTCAGAGGAGACTGCGTGAATCAGGCCTTCATGGTTGAATTGCTGCAAAGAAACCACTACAGGACACCAATAATAAGAAGAGACTTGCTTGGGCCAAGAAACACGAGCAATGGACATTAGACCGGTGGAAATCTGTCATTTGGTCTGATGAGTCCACATTTGCGATTTTTGGTTCCAACCGCCGTGTCTCTGTGAGATGCAGAGTAGGTGAACGGATTATCTCTGTATCTGTGGTTCCCACCATGAAGCATGGAGGAGGAGGTGTGATGGTGCTTTGCTGGTGACACTGTCTGTGATTTTTTTAGAATTCAAGGCACACTTAATCAGCATGGCTACCACAGCATTCTGCAGCGATACGCCATCCTATCTGGTTTGCGCTTAGTGGGACTATCATTTGTTTTTCAACGGGACAATGACCCAACACACCTCCAGGCTGTGTAAGGGCTATTTGACCAAGGAGAGTGATGGAGTGCTGCATCCGATGACCTGGCCTCCACAATTCCACGACCTCAACCTAATTGGGATGAGTTGGACCGCAGAGTGAAGGAAAAGCAGCCAACAAGTGCTCAGCATATGTGGGAACTCCTTCAAGACTGTTGGAAAAGCATTCCTCATGAAGCTGGTTGAGAGAATGCCAAGAGTGTGCAAAGCTGTCATCAAGGCTACTCTGAAGAATCTAAAATCTAAAATATATTTTGATTTGTTTAACACTTTTTTGGTTACTACATGATTCCATGTGTTATTTCATAGTTTTGATGTCTTCACTATTATTCTACAATGTAGAAAATAGTCATTAAGAAAAACCCTTGAATGAGTAGGTGTGTCCAAACTTTTGACTGGTACTGTATATATATATATATATATATATATATATATATATATATATATGCAGTTGTGTGAGGATGATGGTGCTGCTTGGTAGTGCTGTGTGGCTGCACCTGTCTGATCTTTCATTAGTGCAGTCACAGCAATATTGTTAGGTTGTATTGCCCTGTGCAGCACATAACCTATTGTAGCCGTATTCTTTATAGCTTATGTAATTGGAGGTTGTATTAAGCTTATACCTGCCATTTACTATTGTATTTAATTTCATTTTTTTCAGAACCACACACACTCTCTTGGTTCACTCGGGGAGTCCAACTTATTATACACATACTCCGGATGTTATTTCCCAAAGCTACCCTGCCTGATGCGCGCACACCAAACGACATTCCCCATAGTTCCTTATTCATTTTATCTCCCACACAAAGACAGACAGGTGGACAGTACATGGACTCATGTTCAATCATTACCTGTGGACTGGATCTTGAACTCAAAGTAACTCTTGTTTTGGTGCAGGGGAGCGTTGGCGAGGCAACCCCCGGTGCCACATATCCTCCGGCCACTCTTCACGATGACCACATCCGTGCCTGTACAAGAACAAATCAATATTTGAATTTTATTTACGACGGCGTTGTCAAAAACAGCAAGCTGGACAGTAGCTAGCCAAGATAGGCTAACCACACCGGCCTTCTATCGAGCATTTACTGCTTAAAACAACGACCCGTCAGAAAGTTTTTCTCTCACCCATATGATGCGTGTCTAACTGGACGGTGGGCATTTCTTTGAGGGGAATATGCCCCGTTCCCCCATCTCCGCAGCATCCCAGACAACACGTAAACATTGCAGCCATTCTTGCGCTAAAATATTATCCGGAAATGGTCATGCCAACGAAGTTAACAAGCTCTGAAGGAGCTCATGAGAAAAGCTACCATCATAATGAAACAGCGACACCTGGTGGCAGCCATACCACAGTGTCATGAGCCACACATGCGCTCCTTTCCAATGCGTCCAATCACATTGCTTGCAAAGCAGCGGCTCCTGATGGCATGGAAACAAGGGAAGAAAATCAAGGTCAAAAAAAAAAAAATTACACGTGACTTAGTAGCTATTGGTTATCAATGTGTCAAGCCTGGGACACATGGCATGATCATATGTGTGTAGAGTGGGAATTCCATCTCCTATCAAATAACGGGGCAAATGCCTGTAATGAACACCAATATTGTTGCTGGGTAGGCCTACATGTCGTCAGTTAAAAAAGGAGCCGTTCAGTAGCCTATCACCAAGTCTTTTGAGAGCACTTCTAATAGGCTACTTTGTTTTCATGCGCTGGGTATCAGTGGGGATGAAAATTACAATGCAAACGTACATGCACTATAGCCTGATGTTCAAACTTCACACATATGAATCGATTATCGTTACTTCAAGTTCATAATGACGTATACAAATGGTGCAATAGAGGCAGTGATCAAAAGCCGGGTGACTAAGAACCTAGTGGTTGACAGTCTTTCACGCTGTAAAAATGTTTTGCATAGCAACAGCCCGCCTCCCAACTCCAACTTGCAGGGATCCTCTGCATTTTTACTACTGAAAAAGAAAACGCATCTTGTTCTTAAAAAGTAAAAAATATGTACTTAAAAAACGCTGGCCATTAATATCACTGAGATGTTTTTACTTTCTGCGCGCCACTGTATCAGGCGCGTTCTATACTGTGCGCTATTTGGAGCTGGAAGGTTCGTTAGCGCAGTGCTGTGGCCATGCAATGGTTAACTTTTCTCCCGGAAAGGGCGAAGTCTGCACAGCAACAAGCGCCATGATTGCGTTGCACTGTGCGTCTTTGCAGCTGGTAAGTGTTTTTTTTGGTCCAGTTGCATGTTGCTATACGCCTGCAAAAGCTGTCATAACCATCCTCAATACCTTGCCAATAGGACATACTCGTGTATGATCTAACTTATAGACTGCGACTCGTTTATACTGAGTGGTAATCGTTGGTGGAAGTTTGTGTTTATGCAGCATAGCTTATATTGCTAAGGTTACGTTTCAGCGGGCTATTAACATTAAAGCAGAAGTCAAATCTGAAGTGAGTGGGAACTTCAGTCGTTACCATCTCATCTATATATAGACCAGTTGGATGAAACGGCTGTGTCGTGATTGCGTGATATCCCGTCTCATAAAAAAAAAACATCTAGTGTGAACACTAAAAAGTAGGTCGTTGAACGTAGGAAAAATAGGGACCGTGGCGAATGGTTTTTCACTGTAGCCAAATAGTCTATGCACCTAGGCGTGATGTTCCACTGCGCTTTTTATTTTCATGTTTTACGCGGGTACATCGTCGCCTCTTATTTTCCTTTTGAGGGTGGCTGAATTTTAACACCATTCGCTGGAGTGGGTACTCTGGGTTTTATCCAAAGTGTTGTCATGCGTAATTCTAGGGATGTGCATTTCCACCATCACTACCTTTGAATTATTGCGCGGCTGGGTGAAGTAGCTAAACAAACGGGTATGTATAACTGATGGATAGTGTATTGATCTATTATTTTCGATTAGTTCTCCACTCAATCCTGGTTGTCTTTTATTTCAGAACACCATGGAGCTTCTAGAGGAGGACCTCACCTGCCCAATTTGCTGCTGTGTCTTTGAGGACCCCCGAGTTCTGCCGTGCTCACACAGCTTCTGCAAGAAGTGCTTGGAGGGGATTCTGGAGGGGAACAACCGAGGACCTGTTTGGAGACCCCCTTTCAAATGCCCCAGTTGCCGCAAGGAGACCCCTCAAAACGGCATAAACAGCCTTCAGATCAACTACTCGTTACGTGGAATCGTGGAGAAATACAACAAAATCAGAGTTTTACCCAGGATGGCCCTGTGCAAACACCACAGTGGTCAACCGCTTAATATATTCTGTGCCACAGACTTGAAACTTATTTGTGGTTTTTGCGCAACAACAGGCGACCATAAAGGACATACATTCTGTGCCCTGGAAGACGCGTACGAGCAGGAGAAATCCGCATTTGAAGAGCTGTTCCAGGGAGTGGAGCGCTGGCACAGGACGGATATACTATCCTGCCTGGAGACACTGGAAGCCAGTAAGAAAAAGGCGCTCCAGTTAGTTTCCAGGGACGCAGAGAAAGTAACCGACTATTTTGTCAAACTGATCAGCGCCCTGGACCACAAAAAGAACGAGATCCTCTCCGATTTCGAGACGCTGAAGTTGGTGGTGATGCAAGCCTACGACCCCGAGATCAATAAACTGAGCGCTGCGCTGGAGGAGCAGAAGCGCGCTCTCAGCATCGCCGAGTCCTTCAGGAATGTGACCGACCCCCTCTGCTTCCTTGAGCAGATGCAGGAGTTCAGGGAGAAGTTGCGCGTCGTCCGGGAAACGCCGCTGCCCTCCCGGACAGACATGGACGTCGGTCCCTTGGTCAGGAATTTCGACGTCAAAAACTGGGACTCGATGAAGCTTAAAGATGTGGACAAGCTCTCGGTCCCGCACGAGAGTGGCGTGTATAGCTCAACGACCCCGCATGTCGGCGGCAAAGCGCTGGGGAGAGTTGTCGTGTTTTTTGTGTGCCTTTTATGCGCCCTGGTGCTTCTGCAGCCTGACAGCCTGACCGCGGTGTCAGCCCAAATCTCCTCGCTCGGCCATGCCTACCTGCCAGTGCTGGCTGGGTGGCTGGAACTGGCTAACGGTGCGTGGCAGTGCTGGGGAGAGGTAGTGGATGCCTGCGTTTGCCTGGTGGGTGCGATTCTGAACTGTATCCTGAACCTCTTTAAGACACATGCCGATTTTCTTGACGAATTTCTTAGCCGTAGTAAATTTCTTTAGATTCCCGAGTGTTATTTTTGCTACATGGATCTGAAGCAAGCTATGGCAGTCTGATATTGAAAGCCTATATTGTACAAGCTATTAGTAGATTCATAGCAAGCACTAGAAAGCTATTGAAGTATTTACAAGCACATATTTATCATGCTTTGTGTTGTGTGTGTGTGTGTGTGTGTGTGTGTGTGTGTGTGTGTGTGTGTAAAATATATATATATATACACTAAACATCATAACCATACAACACTAAGGTAAATCAAAACACTATTGCAGTACATTAAATGTTGTCATTTGTGAATGGCTTGTTTGGTGAGTGTTAAGCAGCAGCTCTGACCAGGAGCACCATCCATCCTTCTCCAAGCCATATGATCACACTAGGACTTTGACAACCACAGGTCATAGTCTGTCACCTCAGGATATTTTTACATTCCATAGGCTAGATTATGTAGGATAGGCCTAATATTTACATCGAGTTTAAATGTCTTGAGTATCGTTTTTTTTTTTGCCTTACTTTTACTGACCATCTGTTGAGTTGTCAAAATGCCTCATACGGTGTCACCAGACTCATTTTTTACCTAATAAAACATAAATGTGGTCTTTTTCGTCATCTTTATTTTTGAGTGACTGAGGGGGTTTCACCAAATTTGTGGAGGCTCTTTTTCGCACGTGTAGGCTATTTTCCCGGTCAAGGTCAGAAGTGAAGCCTCTATTGGTGCCCCTGCACACTGCTCAAGTGAGATGAAATACCGACATTACGACTATGAAATTCCATGCACTCGCACAGGCGTTCCAAATGCTCGTTTAATGTTCGCCTTCCCTGTTGATCGGACATCATTGCGTGATTTAACCTCCACCGGGGCCAAGGTTGAATGTTGCATAATTAGGCCTATAGAAAAATCGTCTTGGCTTATCTAAATATAACATTATATAGCAATTTATTTTGTATTATTCAAAAACATGTTTTGGCCTTTAGGCCTAGGTTACGTTTTGACCACAGTGGCGATTTTTTTGTGCAAAATCGAAAGACAATAAGCCTAATCTAATTCTGAAATTCCATTTACAACAACTAATTATACACATATGGGATGAAATAGATTTAATCAACTGTCCCAGTGAATGTCAACGTGAGCTCAACTTTGAATGCCACGGATTGTCATAGATGGCCATGGTTTGCCTACACTGGGCCGCTATGCAGTCCATGCATGTTGCAAGTAGATGACGGAAGAGCAATTTTTACTTCTAACAGGCTACTAAATAATTCCATCCCATATGTAACATTGTCTAGAAGTAATAGGCCTATAGCTACAAACATATCTCTCTCATTTTTAGTTTAGGTTAGTTTTCAGAAAACGTATAGGCCTATACAGAAAGCAACCATATAAGCCTACATTGGGCCGTACGTTTTAATGAAAATTGGGCAGTGCATCCATTGGAGGTGTCCATTGGACATGTCGTGCGGTTTTCACTTTTCTGAAGGAACGAAATCCTGATGGAAATCCCAGGATCAGACCACAGCACAAACCTGATGTAAGCACCGACCAGAATTCAGGACTAACGTCACGGCATGTATAGGCCTAGGCTATATATAGCCCTACTGTTGCCGGGCAAATAAGGGATGAAAATGTAAAGTTGGTCATTCTCTTTCCTATAATAACTCAATTAATAATATCTAATAGGCTACGACTTCAAATAAATACAAATATACTGATATTATGAAATTTGACAATCGATGCATTTATATCTAAATGCACCCAAAATATTGGGTAATGGCATGATGATGAAATGATGCCTGCATGCATAACGATCTTATATAATGCTTATCGTAGGCCTACCGTCTTTTTTCTAACAATTCCTACTAACTATTAAAAATCCAACATATTGAATAATTTTTGGTGGGAATAGCATAAGGCTACCCTAATGGCATATGGTGCGCAAATTGCGCAATCAACAGAACTGTGGCTCGAAAGGCCTTTCATTGCAATAAAAGAAGCCACTGAAGTCATATATTTAGACCCCAAAACGTTATCGACCAAATAAATATATTACATTTCTATTACGATAAACATCAGGCGTTTAAGAATATATTAAAATAGCTATAGCCTACAATTCCTCTCCGTAAGTCTGACTAGTGAATTGTATCATCTCTAAAGTAAAATGATTTGTCTCATATGAAGGAACAGGTGAATGCATGGCCAGAATAAAACATTTAACATATTATTGGTAGCCTATAGCCTACCAGATTAAATCAAATGAGCAACGAGATGTTATATAGAATGCCTGGCCAACACTTTTGGATTCCCAAAAATACTAAATGTTATATTTCAAAGACATCGTAAGATGTAGCCTAAATAGGCCTTTAACTAAATATTCTCAAGTAACTACACAACATAAAGCATGCCAAAGTCATTTGGCAGATTATTAAAATAAAATAAAATAAAATATGTGAATAGGAATTAATAAAACGAAATGGGTGCTCTTCAAAATAGTTTGAAGAGAAAATACCCAAAATAGCCTAAATTAAAATTACAATGTTATTTCGATAATAACCTGCAGTGACAAAGGCTGGGAAGTAAAATGTAAATGCATAGGACTATTTTCGACCAGGGTAAAGCAGTCTACACCCACGGCCTGTATAAAATAAAGTCCCCTGAAAAACTCACCATAGTCGATAGCCTAAATAGGTTTGCAGAAGTAATTTAACAATTGTCTTATTTCAGCATTTAAATGGACAAAATGTTTCATATGCAGCATTTAAAATATAGCATAACTTTGGTAGGCTGCATGTGCATAATTTCGGGATGGTAGAGTGCAATGTGTGTAGGCTACGTGCGTAGGCCTATTTGCCTAAGACAAAATGGAACACCTTGCTTTATTTTCTTATAGGAAAAAAAAGTTTAAATTAGCCTTAAAATAAGATGTGCAAGCATAACCCATGCACTGCTAAAACCCCTGGCAGTTTGATAAGTCCTTTTCCCTTCAAATGGCATTCCAGCGCTCTGCGTCATTTGCTTGTCACAAAATATGTGGCTCCAAATCAAGCCAGAGATCGGAAAATGTATTTACTTAAGTTTCACAAGAATAAATAAATACACACTAGAATATAGGGCAGGTGTTGTTTGGTTGAGACATTCGACTGAAAATATCATCCTCGGATTTTAGACTACGGATGATAATAGGGCTCATCTTGATAACAGGCGACGGGGTTTAGGACATGCGTGATACATTCCTGTATAACATTTGATTATAAAATTGCTTTATGTCTATGTTAGCGACCACAACCAATATGTAGACTATCCGCTTTTAAACATATCTTTGGGACACTTCAAATAGGCTAGGCCAAGTTCCCTGAAAGAAAATGTTGAAATGTCTGCGTAGAATAGGCTGATCAAGCATCCAATCTAAAGAACATAATTGACAGCAAAGTATAGATCAAGTGTTATAGCCTCTCTGCATGTTGGTGAGTGTGATCATGCATGGCCTTGCAGGAACTGTTATGAACAAATTGAACTCTTAAAATATTACTGACCTTTTTTAGGCCTATATCAAAGTTATGCTACTGAGACCTATTTTCGACCGCTTCGGTACGGTAAAGCATTCCTGTTTGCACATGAGCCCTACCCAGATCTTTCAGTCAGTCCCAATAGGAAATAGGCCTACCCGGTGACCTTACCGCTGTAGAAAGGTTTGAAACTCGCCGTGTGATAAGCTCGCAGGTAACATTCACGAGTGTTTGGAAAGGTGATGATAGATGCTAGAAATATATTAGGCTAATTGTTGACAAGATTACGAGTCTTCAGCCTATAGCTTGCTAAAATATATAGGCCAATGGCCAAATTCTATTCAGTTAGCCAAATGACTAGATAAGGTCATTTCCTCTGGCTCAAAAAAAAAAAAGAAGACAACCAACCCCAAAAGCCTCGGAATGAGGGTTAAATTACTATACACATTCCATTCAAACGGATCTTGACATTATCAGTGTTTGGAATATTCCAAGAAATCAAAAAGCCAACTGACCCTCTGAATAGGCCCAAATATGCTAATCATTCAAATTGAACTGATGGAAATTAGACAACATAGTGCAGCTCGCTTTGGGCCTACACAGGCTATAGGTTCCTGTCACACAGGCCTATCTTGCCTAAAATAATAATCAGGTGATTTGTAAACTCAGCAGTGTAAGGGTATATCTAATTTTCGCAAGAGCTGGTGCAAGTTCTTGGTCGATTGAGAAGCTTAAAATAAGGTCGATTGAGAAGCTTATTTGTATCATTTCAATAGTTGGATTTTCTCTGAAGATAAGGCAATGGTGAATGGTGATATACCAATAATTATTTGGTGTGAAAGGACACTAACAGCATCCCACTGGGTAAAAACTGGTTGAATCAAAGTTGCTTCCACATTTCAACCCCCTCCCCAATCACCGACATTGAACCAACGTGGAAAACTAATTGGATTAGCAAAAACATTCAAGGTAAGGGCATTTCTTTTTCCCACCCAACTTTTAACCTAAATCCAATGACATGGTGAATTTTGTTGATTTCAAATTGAATTCACGTTAGTTGACAACTCAACCAAATGTAAATCAAAACTAGACATTGAACTGACATTGCGCCCAGAGGGATGGTAGCCTAGTTGTATGGTAACTTTCAAGGACTGAAAGATGAGAATAAAATAAAAGGAAAAGGTGCACCATTTCAAAACGTTTATTAGAAAATGCAGCACATAAAAAAGTTAAACATTATGGGCCGACTAAATCATGCAAACAAGTAATTTAATGTGCAAAGAAACGGTTAAAATGGATATAAAAATGCATGAACATGTTTAAAAAAAATTAACTACTAACTATAAAATACAACATAGTCCTAGCTGTAAAATGAATTAGAATGGAAATAAAATGGACAAAAGCAACTGCTTAAAACCTCATCTGTCTGTACCTGTCATAAAGATGACACATGGCATCCCTCTCTGTATCTTCTCCCCTCCTGCGCACCGTTCTCCTGTGCTGCGCGTGAAGGATGCATGCAGACACAGACAGACTCGCGGCAAGCGGTCAGCTTTGCTTCAGCAGCACGAGCAATACTGGAGGCTTAAGCAGTAGTTTTAACTCCAATATTTACGTGCTGCTACAGCAAGGCAGCCAGTAACGAGGCAGGTG